ACAATTGTTGCAAAGCCAAGGAATAATATCTCAGCTGGATGAGCATATTCAGAAGTCAGTCCAAATGGCGTAGCATACCTGCGTATCAAAATATAAAACTCAACATTCCAGACAAGCAGTAGCATAAAATAAGCACATAAGCCTTCAAATCTGACTCACTCATGATGGACACTATGAACATGCTGGTATAGCCACTTTGTATGCAATATCCTGTGTCCCCAGTAAAACACAAAATCTTCAAGGATGAAGTAAAATATTATCTGAGGCACCACTTCTTTCCTGCAAAATAATGTGGCAAAGTAGCTCTAAAGATTGCATGACATGGACACACAAGTTATCCAAAACAAAAGTATGACTGTAGTTAGCATGATGATTAAATAACACAGGCTACAGTACATAAAGAACCTGAAGATACCAGGAAGGCAGAGGTAGACTACTTCGCATCCCCATAGCTCTAAAGACAGGATATGACAAGAGCATCACCGGCAGATTGACACAAAAATGATACAACAATAGCCGTGTTATACATTTCTGTTGAGCCTCAGGAGGGTTATTTTTAGCCTGCAATTGACCACACTTTGCAGATTAACGGCCCATCAAAATACTCATAATATTAAACATATGCCACAGGCTACATGAGCTGGGATCAAGTCTAAGTCAACAGCAATTGGAGATATACCTCTTAAATCGATCAAGCTATGAGCTCAATTCCCTATTCAACACTATCAATATATCCTTTCTTTTCCAATAGTGTTTGAGTTATATTACTTGGGAAATATAAATCCCAGTCACTTATACATCTTTCATGCAGGAAGTTGGCGACATTACAAATTTTAATAACTCGTCATTGTTACATAAAACCTAAAGTTGTAGTGGGTCTTAAGGCAGATAAGCGAGATAACAATTTACATGACACATATGAATGTCCAAGCATTCTCATAAACTGATTGGACATGGAAATGATTCAATCTAAAAGTAATCAATAAAACAAAAAACTCACAACATTACTAAAACTGAAATTATGAGTATAATAACCAGCAAATTTATAAAATTGACACGAAAAACCTTTTTCAAGCCAAACATTCCCGTTACACATAAACAATAAAAGGAAATTTTGAAACCTGTATCTTGTATTTGCTAAGGTATCCTCCCCTCTCAAGGAATATAAAAGGAAGTCCTGATAAGAAGAAGACACTCTCATGAAGAATGAAGCTTCCAATGCAAGCCAATTGAAAGTCGCTGAAATGAGTTACCAGATACTGCAATATCAGGAAGATAGGTCAAATAAATAAAAAATTATATTATGGAATAAAAAAAATAGATGAAGACACCGCAAAACAAAGAAAATGCTAAACCAGCATGTAATACAGAGACTTTATAAGTGAAAGAAAATGAAACATCTTCACAAAATAATTTCTAAGTCATCTTATGTCAGAGACTATTCCCTCTGTCCCATAGTGTCCATATTATTTGATAAATTACATAGCCAAAGAGGAGGATAATATGGGACAAACCAAAATAAAATGGACAGTCAGAGCCGCGGGGGGGGGGGGGGGGAATTATGGAGCAAGGTGCAGAAGTGGACAGATTATGGCAAAGTCTAGCTTATTGGAGTTCTAAACAAAAGGAGTAGCACAAGCAGCTTTAAAAACTATCCAAGAGAACTGGCATATTGGGACAAATCCAGGTTAAAGCAGCATATGCTTTGTGAGAAGAGAGGAATATAATAGTGTTTGCAGCAGTATCTGATGAGGTAAATAGTACAGGAAATCATGAGAAAACATTGATCTGGACCTTACCAGAAACTATGTTCATGACAGCATTGGAATCGTTGCTCTGCATTTTACTAATGCTTATCACAGCAGAGGTATTAGCACATGATGAAATTCAGCAAAAATCTTACTAGAAAGGTTCTTTAATAAAGGGGAGAGCAAACAATTAGCCTTACTTTGCTATGTACGACACTCCTCAATTCCTGAACATCCTTTGATTATGCTTACTCATCTTCCTTTAAACACCATTCCATTCAAAAACATCCAAACACCATAAGACCCTATCAGGCTATCACCCTAATAGAGCACTCATCACAAGCAGCTAACCAAGACAGTGATGCCATCCTTGCTATCTTTGACACTCTTAAAGTTCTCAGCCTCCTTTCAATATGCTTAATCATCTTCCTCAAACATATCTTATCCATTAATTTGCTCCTCAAAACTTAGTCAAAATATCACAAACATATCCTTAAGCTGAGATTACATCACCTTAAAAATGATACTGTATTTAAGTTCATATATAATCCAAACATAATAAGGCTACTGCTCCATTCTTTTTCCAATCAACCTATACTTAATACACTTATCATTGCATAAACAAGATCATCGACGAAGCTCCATAAATCTAAACCTATGGTACAATAAGCCAACTGATGAATATTCGATTCAAAATATAATTTCTACGACAGTCTCCCTACGACAAATATCCCTGCATTCCTGGATTGGAAGATAATAGCCATTGTTATAGTTTGTGTACTCTCTAAAAACCTACGCTAATCTATACACCAAAACAATCCTCATAAATTAGATTTTCTTCCAACAACAAGATGATCTTGCATGTAATACAATGAATATAAATCATCAACATAAAATCTAAAGCAAAAAAGTTCAATTCGCATTCGCTAACATTATTTTCGCAGATTAATACAATCATCAAACTAATATCAATCAAATTGTAATGCTTTAAACATTTGACCTAATCTAATCGCAATACAAAATCAAACAAATTCCAGTTTCAATAATGCGGAAAACTCGAGAACATTGAGATTAATCAAATATCATCAAATAATAACATGAAAATTAAGCTTAAAAATATCAGAAAATGTTGTGGAAAGAGAGAACTAACCTGCCATCCAGATTCAAGGAGCGACGCCATTGAAGACGAACTCCGATCTTCGGAGGAGAGAGAAAGAGAAGAAAGAAGAATTTGTGATGTGAGAGAAGAAGAAGAGAGAGAAAGATGGGGGCGACACAACTGTCAAGTAGGGGAGGGAATCTATCAGAATTTTCTGCTCTTTCTTGCCCGAATATTTTGGTTTTTTTTTATAATAATTATTTTTAACTAATTTTAATTACCCTTTTTGCTGAAATTTTTTACTATAGAGCAATTATTAGGTTATTAATTTCAAGTGATAATGATGTTGATATTATGTTATGATGTTAAAAGGTGTTGAAAACGGCTTTCGCGCTATTGTTTTAGACATCTGATAAAATGGAACGATACAATTCATACAATTGATTTACTTTGAATATCGTAGGGTATGTTTAGGGATTTCAATCTTTAATGTTATTTGGACAGCTTATCAAGGTTGTAAATAGGCCAAATAATAAGTGGTTTTCATTTTCTCCATGTATAATAAAGACCAAACTACATCATTAAATAAATAAGAAGTCTAAACATCATTTATTATGAAATGAAAATTATAGGTTTCATAAAGCTGTCTTGGAGAGCTTCAACATCAACAACCATGAAATACTACTTCTCAATCCAGCTCCAAAAATATAAAGTAATTGCGTGTTTATAAGAAAAAAAGTTTGTAAATATTTGTATGGTGTAAACTTATTCGAGGTCACTTTCTATCTTAAGGGTGTCACCTACAAATTTTTTAAGACGTCATTAGAGAACTAATTCCTTTCTAGCTAACTTTATTTAAATATATACTGTAGTGATATTTTGTAAGTAAGAATATACAAAATTACAAAGTAATATTTAGTAAATGAACTTGTTCAATGTTCATGTTACTTTTATTTTCTTTGGTGAATGGCGAACATGTTCATGATGATATTTAATTTTAATTTAACTAGCTATTTACTATAACTCTATAAGTACTTATTTCGATGTAAAATACTCCGCATTTACTATATTAGAGAACTAATTATCAATTACATGCACTTGTCACAATAATTGCAAATTAAATTCATTATCGTCGGTAATTTACTAGTCATAGTTATTATCTATAAATGGCTAACAAATGAATGGTCAAAATGCTTAAAATGTCAGTCATGAAATAATGGAGATGTGGGCCTCAAAATTATGAGTGGCTTTCCTCAATCATAAATTACTATCATGGAGTTTCTCCTTACGAAAACAACGTTTATGCCCTGGGTGATGCCGTGGACTACTATTAAAACTTTATTAGACACAAAAAATGCAATCTTTTTCTAATTTTTAATGCGATGATACATAATTTTTTTAAAAATAAATAAATTAATGAAGTATGATTTTGAGGTCACGTACTCACGTGCAAAAGGTTACAGTATTTGTCACTTGTTAAAATCCAGCATCCATGTTGCAGGAATATTAATTTGGGGTTTGACCATGTATGTACATCAGTACATGTACTCGTGCAATTCATACACCAAAGACAGACTAGCTGCTTCGCCAAATGTCTCTTGGGGTACTCAAATAGTGGAAATCTAACAATTTTAGGTGGTCCATGTGCACTACGAAAATAAATTATTACGTTGTACTACCTCCGTTACGTTTAACTTTTTAACATTTAACAGAGGAAATATAAAAAATAAACAAATGGGACAGATAAAATAAGGTGAAAAGAGTAAGACATGTTTTTTGAAAGAATGAGATATTAGAAAAACACATTTACTCCATTATGTGTTTTTCTAATGGTTAATGGATTTCTGATAAAAAAAAGTAATGGTTTATGGAAGTTGCTTTATTATACTTGAATTATATAGCTAAAATCATAGTCAATAAAGAAATAGTGTCAACTACTACCATAATATCATCATAAAGGAAATGCCGAAATGGTGCAACTAGGAAATATTAGCAAGGTCACACAATTGCATTCTAGTGCTGTAATATAAAGTACTCCGTAGATTGGTTGAATTTGGTTGCAAAAGCGAACTTCTTATCAAATGTAGCTTCAGAATCAACACATTAAGTGATCCAGACTATCTCCACTTCTGCACTCATATTACCTTAGAAGATTAAATAATTAAACTTCCCTTCTTGATTCAATTTACCTTAGAAGATTAAATAATTAAACTTCAAATTAAAATCATCTCAAACATATCAAACTAGTATGTTGAAATCATCTCAGAGAGCATAAAGATTTATCAGCCTAGTCCGATTGTAAAACAGGAATATCAAAAATTGATTGGTCACAGGAGGAAAAAAAAACCCATTGTCATATTCTAGTTTGCCCTTGGAGTAGCCCATTCAACTCGAAGAATGAGATTATCATAACCATATCCATTGAGCTTATTGATGGCCCGCTCAGCATCTTCTCGGTTCGCAAAGTTCACGAACCCAAATCCTCTGCTCAACCCAGTCTTCTGGTCGATCGCAACATAAACTCTGGTGATCTGACCAAATGTCCTGAAGAGCTCATGGAGATCAGCCTCCCTGGTATCCTCAGAGAGATTGGTAACACGAACAGAGTTCTCTTCATTTCGGCGCCTCATGTCAGTGACAGTTCTCTCAGCACCTGCTCTCAAACTTGGAGGAACATATGCTCCCTTGGAGCCAGTTGTAGAAGCAGCTGCCGGTCCATCTGTGGGAGGCTTATCAACGAAGGTTTCAGGAGGTTGTGCAAGATCCTTGTAAGGACACCTTGAAGTCCAGTGGTCACCTCTCTTACCACAGGTCCTACAAAGCATGAGGACAGCACCTTTGCCGAATGGGTTATCAGATGCAGCTTTTGTTTCTTCTTTATTGGCCCCTGTCAAGAAAACAAATGTTAAAGAGCTTGCTTAAACAGGGGGTTATGAAAAATCAGTACAAGAGCTATAATTGTGCAAAATAAAAAGACAACCTTGCACCAAGAGCTCTGATCAGTGATAACAATATTTGGTACAAAGACAGGAAAACAAACAGAAGGAAACTAATTGCAATTCACAAACAAACAATTCACAAACTAAATCAATACCATAGACATTGATCTAACACAAAATCTTTTTATGGCAGAAATTCCTAGAAGCATTTTGGACCTAACCAATCAACTGTCTAGTTATTTAACAGGAATCCACCAATTCAATACTCCACATAATCAGAAACAAGTTTAGAAGGTATCATTACACTAAACAATTTTCTCACAAAAAAAGTGAAGGAAAAAAGACATTGAGTAATTAACAGCAAGAAAACACACCCCCTCGTTTCCAGAGACATGAGCAAAGTTTAGTCGATCACATTCAGAAGTACAAGGAATGTCCAATGGGAACCTTTATCTCAGCATCACATTCCTTTCTGCTAACTAATGAAGGCAAAAATCCTAGAAACTCAAACCCCAAGGCTACATTCAACTTTTCCCATCAGACCCATTCCCAATATTAATACTTTTATGTCCAACTATCAGTTTTTATGTGCAACGTTTCATTAGGGATTATTAACTGAGCTAAAAAAATCAGACCAAACATGAATAAGCAAAGAATATACCTAATTACCTACCAAACAGAAGTATTTGCAGCTAAAGACCCAACATCTATTTTTTTAGCTTTAAAGTTTTAAAGTTTGTAACATATTTAAACATATGACCACCAGATTTCAGAGAAGACTGTGCAGTATCATTGCAAACTGTCATTAGCAAACTGCTATGGGTCAGCCTGTTAGGTATAATTATCTCAGTATCTGTTGTATATGATTCTTTTTCTAGCAGTGGCTCAGTGTACAGGTCTAATTATACAAGTAACACCTATCATAATAGCAACAATGCTAATGCTACAACTATATTAGCATTAATACTACAACTAGTAACAGTGACAATAGAGTAATTAAAATATATATATATATATATATATATATATATATATATATAAAAAGGGCATTAGTATATTAATAAAGTGAAGACAACAATAACAAGAGAAACAAACACAGAAAACATAAAGATCTATATGCAAGTTCATCTATTCATAAACAAGTCTCGAAGATTCAGTCAACCTGATAAACTACTAATAAGCCATATAACAACAAATTCCAATCTTGAAATTATTCTTATGGTTCAAAATGTTATTCTAATGTATTGAAGACCCCATACGCCACAGTAATAAAATTGTTTGCAGCACCAATCTAGTCTACATCAACAAAGTAGCCACCAATCCTACTTGTTACATCCAACCAAATCTATGACTTAATTAGCAAGGAGTAACATAAGGAGTGAAACTTCTAGTATATTATACTTCGTAGTAACTATCATCCCAGCCCTACCCTGATACCATAAAACCACTGATCTTATTCTCCTACCTATTATTATATCACATTTGTTATTCAGAAAACTCCCGATAATTCACATAATCATCCATCAACAAATAAAATAATATTCAGCATGCACCAAGTTATTTTTAACTCCAAACCTCCCTTCCACCCAAACTAAGCCATCTCAACTCACTTTTTTTTTTTTTTAACAAACTCTGTTAAAAAAAAAAACAACGGACCCTTCTGACCAATAATAAAAATCATCAAAACCATTACAATAAATCACCGATAATGAAAATCACCAAAACCATTACAATAAACCTATTTCACATTCAGTATTCCATCCACTCTCCCACAAATACTAACCTCAATCCCAATCACAATCACCGTTCATCCATCAGAATAGTTTTAAATTACTTCAGGAATCACCAAATTCATAAAATCCCAAACTTTACAACCTTGAGCAGCTAATTTCCACCAGCAACCTTTAAAACATGTAAATTAATCATATTGCTAATTCAAAATACAAGCCTAATGATTAAAAAGCCTAGTTTATTGTTCTTGGCACCTCAAAAATTTCATATCTCGATAAATCCAGAACCCTATCCATCTACAATTCCCCCAAAATTCCACAAATATCCTCGAGAAATCAGGTAAGCCTTCAATTTCTTTCAATTAACCTCAATTGACAAAAATCACTCAAACAAAACAAATTCACGAGTAAATCCATTAAAAATCAAACATAAATAACACAGCCAGATTCAACAACCCTAAAATATCAACAACATCAAAATCATACAACAATTGATCAATTGCAACAAAGATCAAATTTTAAAACAGAAATAGAAACAAAAGCAAAAGAAAGCAAAATCGAAGCGAACCAGGAGGAGCAGGTCGTTCAAGGCCGATTTCTTCAGTAGAAACCATAGTAAGACGAGCGCCGACTTCTTCATGAACAGCATCACCAAATTTAGGCCAAGAACGACGTTCAATTGCCTTCTTGCTAAGATGAGCTTTAGCAAGCTTACGCACCCTAGTTGTGGTGGTAACCTTAACCTTGTTACCTTCGTCGTTAAATTTATACTCAATCACCTTTTTTACGCCATTATCATCTGGACCAATTACTTGCTTTGGAGGTAACAGCAAGAAATCCAGATCTTCGTCTTCGTCTACCTCGCCCCATCGAAGCTTGGTCTGCTGCATCTTTGTTATTTGAAGAGAGAGAAAATTAGGGTGAAGATAGAAAATAAAATTAGGGTTTTGTTTGTTTGAGGAGAGAGAAATAGCGGTAGAGATGAGAAAGAAGATTTTTTTTTTTAAAGGGTTCGTTTTTTTTACAAAGTGGATGTTTAGTTTACGGTCTTACTCAAATACTCAGTACATAGGAAGATTAAAACTCTCATGTTATAGGCATATAACTAGGGGTGCTGATTGAGTTGGGCAGCTCGCGAGCAACTCGTACTTGACTCGGGTTTACGCTCGGTCAAAACTCGACTTGAGTTAACTCGACTCGAATTCGACTCAACTCGAGATGTTAACGAGCATGAGTTGAACAAGCTCTAACTCGACTTGATAAGCTCGTGAGCAACTCGATAATATAATATTAATATAGAATTTGCAAACAAAGTTACTATCTTTAAACAAATTTGACACTTATTAAGTCTTAATATATATCATAAAAAAAAGAGTAAATGTTTAATAATATCTATATAATAAGGAAACAATATAAATTGAACAAAAAAAATAAACAAAGGCATATAATAATAGAAGGACCAAAATTTTAACGAGCTGATCGTGAGTTACTCTACTCGACTCGAAACTTTAACGAGCACGAGTCGAGCAGGTTTTATTTGCTCGATAAGCACCCATATATGATATGCGTGATAACCGACTAAATTAAGGCCGTTGTCACTAGAATGGAAAAAAAATTGTCTGAGCCCGGGTTCGAACCGGGGACCTCTAGTGTGTGAGACTAGCGTGATAACCGACTACACCACCCAGACACTTTGGGTACTTCCAAGAGATTAATTATCGAATCTTAAACCAATCTCATTTATCAAAGATAACCACCAAAAATTCCATTAAAAATTCAATTCCAAATTCGAACCAAATTTCTCAAAATCAGTAAAATAAATAAACTCCGTCACCTTCATCGGCGATACACTCGCCGGCCAAATTCTCTCTCCTCAAAACGCCATGAACGCGCAGCACCACCATGCTTCTCTTGGTCGAAGAACGGTAATTCAACAAAAAAAAATATCAATTTTTATTTCTTCTTGTATATTCTTTCATTAATTAGATTAATTTCACTCAATTATCTGAAAAAGATTTGATCTTTCTTATTTTTGAATTAAATTTAGTTGGAAGAAATTCGGCAGAAAAGAGCTGCTGAGAGGATGAAAAAAGTGTCTTCTGGATCAGATCTTAGTACTTCTTCTAACCCACCTGGTAATAATTGTTATTGTTTTCTTGATTATTTTTTTTTTTAATATTTATTGATTATAAGAATTATTGAGTTTGGAATTTTTCTGAATTCATTTGCAGATAATGGTGGGATCAAAAAATCTGATAGTGTTTCCAGGTTTTCCGAGGTATATATCTTCAATTCCGGCTCATATTCTAATACTGGAATTTATGCTAGATAATTATGCAATGTGCATTAAGTTTTATAAAATATAATCCCATTCTTCAGTGGAATTTGAGCGCAATTTGTGATACAGTAACTGATTGTAGATTTCTTGTATAGTTGTATGATACATTGCCCTAAAGTTTTAATCTTTGTGCTTTTATATAATGAACCCCCCCCCCCCTTTTATGGAGTGGTTATATTTCCCAGAATCAAGTTTACATAAGATGCATTGTGTTAAAATTGTTGATGTGTTGTATGGAACGTGATTCGTAGTGGATAACTAGTAGTGCAGCTGAAGGGTTTGCAAGAGTAGTGCAGGAAGTTTCAATTTTTTGGGTGAATTTGCTCCTTTTTTTTGAGGGGTTATATTCCTTAGTTTCAGATTTAGATGTTGATGCTGATTATGTTGTTGGTTGTTGATTGTTAATGTGTTGTACAGAATGATATTGGGAGTTTAGTATCACAGTTGAAGGATTTGCAAAAGAAGAATTCTGAGTTTGAAGACGAGAACTACAGACTGAGCTCCAAGGTTTTTAAGTTAACCTTATTGCAATTGTGTTAAAGTCTTGGGCTACTTCTCTGGATGTTGATAATTTACTTCTGAAATTACAATTTTGTTTTCTCTATGAAGCTTCAGGAAAAAGAAGTGGAGTGTGAATCATTGCAGAAGCGTCTTAGTGATCTGGTAGACATATTAGAATTATGCCACACTATTGGTTTTATTGGCTTTGTTTGGATAAGAACAGATCTGTATGGAAAGGGCTTTTTGATAGATGGGCTGTACTGATTTTCTCGTTGGAATGCAGGAGCAAAATACAGTACCTTCTTTGAGGAAAGCACTCAGGGATGTTGCGATGGAGAAAGATGCAGCAGTTGTTGCACGGGTATGGACATTTAAATGGAAATTAACTGTGTTATCTAGATGCTATTTAAGTCATGGTTTTGTAACCTTATACCTAAGGAATCTGGTATTTTTTAGTGTAGGAGGATCTCTCAGCACAAGTTCGGACATTGAAAAAGCGTTTCAAGGAGGCTGAAGAAGAACAATATCGAGTATGCTGAGTGTTTTTTATTTATCCTCATTTTCTCTGTTCTAATAAAATAAAATGTATGATATTCTCCCTCTTAACCATTGTTTTGCAATAGGCTGAAGAGGATGCAGCTGCTCTAAGAGCAGAACTTAATTCCATTCAGCGACAAGCATTCAATGATTCTGCTAGTAACATGGCTTCTATGGGAAACCCACCAGATCACATGCATTCTTTGGAAAAGGAGTTAGCTAACCTAAAGTTAGAGTTAGAAGTGAGTGCTTGTTTCAAAAAGCATGTTAACAATTCACTGTTATCTTTGAGTTCTCTTATGATGAATCTTGTTGCAGAGAGAGTCAAAACTTAGGCATCAAGAGCAACAAAGATTAGAAGAAGAGCAAGTTAGGGTTTCTGCTCTTATGTCAGACAAGCAGGACTTGGAATTGAAGCTTGCAGAACTGGAAAGACAAATATCAGGTAATCCTTAGAAACTTAACTTTTTTTTGTACACATTACATGATACAGTACCACATTGTCTTTTTTATTATATATAATAAGAAGATGCGGAAGTTATGGCTTAGGAGTATAGCACTGGGTGCCTTTCTTTCATCTTGCAATGGTTATAGGGAATGGTTTTGTATCTACTAAGCTTTAGGATACCTGTATACTGGCTTTCATTAATTATTTTTGACATCAACTAGTGGACTTGCTTCCTTAATAGTCTTTTTTGTATGTGTTCCAGAAGATGTTGCCGAAAAATCATCATCGAAAGCATTTACCCAGGTCAGCCCAATCCTCCATATTGATATTGATTCTAAATTATTTTCTCCCTTGTATTGAGTTGTTTCAAGGAAGCCATGGTTGCTGTACCTTGATTTTCATTTTTCTTTATAAGCTATTTATTTCGAGCTTTGACATTCTTTTACAAGGCCGGATAACTGAAAAGAATCTAAAAAACCAATTTGGTATGCAAAAATTTGTTAAGTCTTGACATTTGATTCCAATTTTGTGTAATTAAATCGATTTATCTAATAGTATGACTTGGATTGAGATTAACACTTGGGATCTGAAAAAGTCATGTATGTGCCATTATTTTACAGCCTACAAATATCTGAAACTTCTTTTTCTTTGCTTCTATGAACTACCTTCTAATTGACTGTGGTCTTCTGATGCCGTTTGTCTCCTAATCTTGCTTCTATGAACTACCTTTTAGTTGAATGTGGTCTTTCCAATGCCGCTTGTCTCCTAATTTCACAATTTAATATTATTTTTGATATCTTGCAGCAAGACAAGGAGAAGTTGGAGGGCCAGTTGCATGATATGGCAATAATGGTTGAGAGATTAGAAGGTGGGAGGCAGAAGCTTCTGGTAGAGGTAACCTCCTTTGCTTCATTAATTATCTCTTCTTAGTGAAATCTATAACATAAACTCTTTTCTTACCCCTACTCCTTTTTTCCTAAATGCAATATTTGTTCCTTTCCCTTTGCTCAAGTTAGACTGTGTTTTTGGCAGATCGATTCTCAATCTTCAGAGATAGAGAAGCTCTTTGAGGAAAATTCAAGTCTGACATCAGCTTATCAAGAGGCTGTGGGTATCGCCTCACACTGGGAGAATCAGGTGATTTAAGTTGCTTGAAGTTTGTCTATACTGTTGTTCACTAAGGTATTAATCTGATACATTGTATGTGTATTCTAGATAGCTATCTGCGCTTCAAATCCTCCCTATTATTCGTCCTGTCAGATATCCCCTGGTGATGTCTTAATCTCAGGTTATTATAAACTAAGACCTTTACTTTCAGGGTTTTGAAAAGTCTCTAGTCCACAAATGTAAAATTTGAATCCCTTAATAGACATAGAGACTAAAGTTGTGCATCTATGTCATTTCATGATGAACTTTTTTTTTGTTTTGGAATCTGAAACAATTTTGTAAACATTAGTATGTTGTGAGGAATCAGAAACAAGATTTATTGAAACGTAGAAATAGAAAAAACATGGAAACACAATTTTCAAGGAATCAAGAAACAAGGAAAGTAAGTGAAACTAATATCAAGAAATTTGAAGTTATTTGCACTGTTTTTACAATAATGAATATATCGAGAAGGTATCAGAGTTAATTAGGATTTAGTGAAGAGACTAGAAAAAGAAAGGGCCATTTTGGGACTTTCAAAATACGTATATGGGAAGAACTTGTTGGCTATTTAAAGAAGAAATGATCCCTGACTTTTCAGGTTTCCATAATTCCGTAATAGAAAACCTGACCTACATAAGGTGATAAGGGTTTCATTTCTACAGTATATATAGTTGTTTTAATCACAAAACAGAACTCGCCTAATTTTGTAATAATACAGGTCAAAGAATGTCTCAAGCAAAATGAAGAGCTACGAGGGATGCTAGATAAGCTGAGAACAGAACAAATCAATACTATGTCGTCAAATGGGGTGCAGTTGACTAACGGCTCTCCGGGGACAAACAATTATGGGAAAAGTGATACTGAATCACCTGATACAAATGATATACTGAAACTCAAGGTAAGTTTTTGGCATTCAGAGATAGAATGCATGGCTTTCTTCTGGTGTGCCATAAAAACTTGCAGACGTTCTTTCTCAGCTTGTTTTTTTTGGTACTCCCTCTATCAGAAATTGGTCACATTGTTCCTAGTCCGTCCTATACCCCTCACTCCCTCAGAAGGATATGACATTGATTTACAGAAAGACCTTTATGAGTAAAATAATTATATATATCCATATACTTCCCTTTTTACCAATTAAATTTAGTGGGGGTGGGGTGGGTGGGTGGTAAATGGTAATATTAAGAGATTCAATCAGGCATAAACCAGCACCCTTTTGCGTAAGGTTACCACTTTTTCCAAACATCTCAAAATTATACTTTGACTATTAATTCAGCTTCAGGGAGTTTGATTAGTAATTATGAGTCGTAAGTTTTGTCAAAATAAACTTTCAATCTGTTATTGCATCTTAAACCTGTCGAATTTGATTTGTATCTGCAATACTGCATTCAGGGTCAACTGCTCAGGGAGCAAAGCAGAGCAGAGAGTTTGTCTGCAGAGGTCATGCAACTTTCTTTGCAGCTGCAACAAACCTCACGGGCATATACGGGTCTTGCACGCCTGTAAGTCTTCCTCTTTAAAATACTGTTCCTAATTTCTGGATGTGGAGTATATGCTGTAAATTATCTAAATTTGACATGTGATGTGGATTGGTTAAAATGTTTCAGCTACAAACCAGTGCTGCGAAATATTGAGAGCAATTTGATGAAGGTGAAGCATGACGGAGTACTCCTGGCGAAATGATCTGGGAATACTTATTTTTGATGTGTTATACTTGATATCACAGAGACAATGTACAATTGAAAAGAAAAGTAGATATGATACTTATATTGAGTTTGTGTTTTTTGTTTTTGGTGTATTCTTTCCCAGGACTACAATGTTTTGTTATACTCCTTAGAGTCCTTACCATAGAAACTTGAAGAAAAGAATCTATTGTTTTGATTAATCACTTTTTGGCTTGTTGCAAATTGAGATCAACTCTTCAACATCTGAAACAATAGTTGTCCCTCCTCCCCTCATATCGCCAAGTTATGTTCTGAGCCCCCTTACACCTGAGTAGCCATGCTAGCTTTGATGCACAACGTTGAGGGATATTTTGATTCATGCAGTACAAGTATAAATCCCAAACACCAAATGAAGCATAATAAAAATAATATTACTTTGACAAAGGTTCATTGGGCACATAAACTACTTAGCTCATTGTCCTGAAAACAGTCGAGATTCAATAAGACTGATAAATGACGCAACAGCGATCTACCGAATAAAAAAAAATGATGCAACTGCAAAGGAACTGTGAAAAAAAAAAAAAAAAAAAAAAAAAAAAAAAAAAAAACCTACTACGTATAATTTGTTTATGTTCTTGTGGTCACTGTACAACACATAAAATCATCTAGATCCAACTGAGATTTCTTTATGTTGTTAAGGTATAAAGAATCAGCATAAATTTTACATGAAACTACCAGTAATCGCCACAGGAGCAAACACCATCACGAAAATGATGAATGCGATTAACATCCCTAACCATAATCTCCCTGCCGGTAAATCTGGAGATAAACTTGGTCATAGTATGACAATCTTCACATAACCTTAGGTTCTTAGTGATCCTTATGGTTTCTCCCTTTCTAGTATTTATGAGTCCAAAGCCAACAGCTAGTTTTTCACTGTGTCCCAGGAGAATCCGTTCTTTCTCCTTCTCTTCAAGGTCATAGAGAACAAGTTCGGTCCGTGGGGTATATCCCTGCTGCTTCATCTCCTCAGAAAACTCAGCCAAAAGAGCATGAATCAGCTCAATCTGGGGGTTAAGTTCATCAACTGACATGAACGAGTAGATCTTCCTTCTCACTTCAATCCAACTTCGACCAAAAACCTTCTGCAGTCCCTGGGCTTCTAGAAGCTGCTTCACTCTCTTCACTTCATACCACATTCCAGCTTCTGCATAAATATCAGCCAACAGCACATAATTTCCAGCATTGGCAGGTTCGAGTTTAAAAAGTTGAGTGCTTGCTCTCTCTGCAAGCTCGACATTACCGTGAATCTTACATGAGCCAAGGAGAGAACCCCAAACTTTTGGTCCTGGCTTGATTTTCATCTCTTCTATAACTTTAGCTGCTTCTTTTATTCGATTGGCACGGCCTAATAGATCTACCAGGCATGCATAGTGCTCTACACTAGGAGAAATCCCATGCTGCTCGGTCATTGAATCAAATAACCTTTTTCCCATATCAGCAAGCCCTGCATGACTACAAGCTCCTAATACACTCACAAAAGAGATGGCGCTGGGTTTAATTCCCCTACTAAGCATTTCCTCAAAAACGCGAACAGCCTTCATGCCAAAACCATGAATTCCATAACTAGAAATCAACGTATTCCAAGAAACAACATCCCTCTTATCCATCTGGTCAAAAATCTTTTGTGTAACCTCGAGTTTCCCACATCTTGAATACATAGTCATGAGGGCGCTAGTAACTGGCAATATGGAATCAAGATTTCTTCTCAATATATAACAGTGCATCATCCTGCCTTGTTCCAAAGCTGCAAGAGCAGCACAGGCTTGAAGTACATTAACCATAGTCACCGAATTAGGCGACAAATCACTAATCTCATACACCATCTCATGAAAAAGATTCAGTGCCTCCAATGGCCTTTCATTTTTAGCATAACAAGCAATCATAGCACTCCACGACACGACATTTTTATCAGGCATCCCATCGAAAATATAACTAGCATACGACACATTCCCAAACTTAGCATACATATCTAGCAAAGTTGTCATAATATGCACATGGGTTTCATACCCATGTCGCAAAATCCGGCCATGAATCTCCTTCCCTTTCTCCAACAACGAAGTAGTAATTGATTCAGACACAACACAAGCCTTAATTGCATAAGTATGAGTAAACCTGTCACAAGGCATACCAATCCTATTCATCTCCCTGTAAAGACCCAACGCATCAACCCCATAACCAGCCAATGTAAGAGCACGCAAAATAGCATTCCAAACATAAATAGTTCTCCTAGGAATTTTATCAAACACTTGGCGTGCATAATCAATACAGTCCAATTCCGAGTACATATCAATCAATTTAGTAGCCAAAAAGGGATCTTGATCAAACCCATTATCAACAATGTTGCGATGAACAGCAAAAGCGTCAGGAAAAGACTTTTGGAGGGCACAAGAGAGGATTAAGAGCTCGTAAGTTTGTTGGGTTGGTTTGGATTCTGAAGAAAGAAGATGAAGGGCTTGTTTGAGATTGCCTTTCTTGCATAATGACTGAATTGTGGGGTTCTTGTTGGCAGTTTCAGCGGCGGCGCCGGCGGCGGAAGAGCAGAAAACGACGGTGGTGATGGGTTGTTTGGAAGATGTTCTGTGTTTGATTGGTAAGAGAGAGAATGGTGGTTTGATGATTTGGGGAGAATTAAGTACCCACATCACATTGAAAAGATTTGATTTTTTTTCTGGGTTGATGATTAAATTTGGTTTCTTCTTCAGTATAATTTTGATTAGTATGGTTAAAAAGCTCAATTGTTTGGTGCCACAGATATAAGTAAGCCTTTCTCTCGTTGTTTGAACTTCGAAGGAGCCAAATCATACGAAACTAGAGCTGTCAATTCGGGAATTCAAGTCGGGTTTAGGTCGGGTCAAATCAGGATCAGGTTATGTCGGGCCAATCTAGTTTCAGATCAGATTCAGGTTGGGTCAATTTCAGTTCAAGTTATAACGGGTCGTTCACCTTTTCGGATATAGGTTGGGTTCAATTCGAGTTAAAATCAGATCGTGTTCAATTTCAGGTTCGGGTTGTGTTGAGTTGGGTTTGGATGGGTTAAAAAGATGGTACATTTGGGTTTGGGTTAGTATTGAGTCGGGTTCCGGTTCAAGTTCAATTCTAATAAATATCGATGTGGTCAAGTTGAACTATATAATTACGCCTTCCATAATTTGATCAAGCATCATCAAGATTTTATTAAACCTATATACGAGTAATAGAGAACAAAAGTTATATAAGCTGGACAAAAGATTTTATTAAATCGGATTGTACAGAATTATACCAGTATATAAGCTGAATAAAAGGTATATAAAATTTAATTAAACCTTCCATGACTCGGGTTCATGTTTTAGTTGGGTCGGGAACTAGTTCAGATTCGGATTGTTTTCGGGCCGGATTAAATCGGTTGACGGGTACTATCAGGTCGAGGGCAGGTTCGGGTTCAGGTCCTAAAGTATTGGATCAAATGGGTTTTCAGTTAAGATCGGGTCTGGATCAAGTCAGGTTACAGGTCACTAGTTTCACTCCATTGTTCAAGTACAGGCTGAGTTCAGATTTTTATCCGTTAAGGGCGGGTTCTCGGGTCGGGTCAGTTTTTGACAGCTCTACCTATAACACACACTTTTTGAGGAAATTTTAGGATTTCGGAGTCCGGTGGCAAAAAGTGTTGAGACCCTAGGGGATATATCTCAGGGTCAAATAATGCCGCTTGAAACCATAATATGTTGTCATAAACGTACGTGGTAGGTTTGAGTTTACAAAATCAATGGAAGTTGTGAATGGGTAAAATGACCGTTTAAAAGCATATTGGACGGTTCCACCGACCCAATTCGACACCCGGAGGGTATTAGGGACCATGGTAAACATCTCGGTAATATTTATTTTCGGGCGAAAAAAAGTCAAAAAATTACAAAATCGAATGCTATAATCCACGCTTTTTAATGAAATTTTAAGGTTTAAGAGCCCGGTTGCAAAAAGCCTTGAGACCCTAAGGGTACATCTGGGGGTCATATAATGTCGTTTGAAACCATATATGATCATCATATGATGTCATAAACGTCCGTGGTAGGCTTGAGCTTACGAAATCGGTGCAAGTTGCGAACGGGTAAAATGACCGTTTCAGGACATATTGGACGGTTCCACCGACCCAATTGGACTCCCAAAGGGTATTAGGGACCATGGTAAACATCTCGACAATTTTTATTTCCGGGCGAAAAAAGGTTAAATAATTACAAAATCAAAGGCTATAATACACGCTATTTGAGGAAATTTTGATGTTTCAAGGCCTGGTGGCGAAAAGTGTTGAGACCCTAGGGGATATATCTCGGAGTCATATAATGCCGTTTGAAACCATATATGATCATTATATGTTGTCATAAACGTCCGTAGTAGGCTTGAGTTTACGAAATCACTTCAAGTTGAGAACAGGTAAAATAACCGTTTAAGGGCATATTGGATGGTTCCAACGACCCAAATAGACTCCCGGAGGATATTAGGGACCATGGTAAACATCTCGAAAATTTTAATTTTCGGGCGAAAAAGGTCAAAAAATTACAAAATCGAAGGTTATCCACACTTTTTGATGAAATTTTAAGGTTTCGGAGCCCGGTTGCGAAAATCCTTGAAACCCCTAAGGGTACATCTAGTGGTCATATAATGTTGTTTGAAACCATATATGATCATCATATGTTGTCATAAACGTCCGTGGTAGGCTTGTGTTTACGAAATCGGTGCAAGTTGCGAACGGGTAAAATGACCGTTTCATGACATATTGGACGGTTCCACCGACCCAATTGGACTCCCAAAGGGTATTAGGTTCCATGGTAAACATCTCGACAATTTTTTTTTTCCGGACGAAAAAAGATCAAAAAATTACAAAATCAAAGGCTATAATACACACTATTTGAGGAAATTTTGATGTTTCAAGGCCCGGTGGCGAAAAGTGTTGAGATCCTAGGGGATATATCTCGGTTTCATATAATGCCGTTTGAAACCATATACGACCATAATATGTTGTCATAAACGTTCGTAATAGGCTTGAGTTTACGAAATCACTACAAGTTGTGAACGGGTAAAATGACCGCTTAATGGCATATTGGATGGTTCCAACGACCCAACTGGACTTCCGAAGGGTATAAGGAACCATGTTAAACATCTCGGCTATTTGATTTTCGGGCGAAAAAATGTAAAAAAAAACTACAAAATCAAAGGCTATAATCCAGGCTTTTTGATGAAATTTTAAGGTTTCGGAGCCCGGATGCGAAAATCCATGAGACCACTAAGGGTACATCTCGTGGTCATATAATATCGTTTGAAACCATATATGATCATCATATGTTGTCATAAACATCCGTGGTAGGCTTGAGTTTACGAAATCGGTGCAAGTTGCGAACGGGTAAAATGGTCGTTTCAGGACATATTGGACAGTTCCACCAACCCAATTGGACTCCCAAAGAGTATTAGGGTTCATGGTAAACATCTCGACAATTTTTATTTCCGGGCGACAAAAGGTCAAAAAATTACAAAATCAAAGGCTATAATACACGCTATTTGAGGAAATTTTGATGTTTCAAGGCCCGGTGGCGAAAAGTGTTGAGATCCTAGGGGATATATCTCGGTGTCATATAATGCCGTTTGAAACCATATACGATCATAATATGTTGTCATAAACGTTTGTAATTGGCTTGAGTTTACGAAATCACTACAAGTTGTGAACGGGTAAAATGACCGCTTAAGGGCATATTGGATGGTTCCAACGACCCAACTGGACTCCCGGAGGTTATTAGGAACCATGTTAAACATCTCGGCAATTTTGATTTTCGGGCGAAAAAAGGTCAAAAATTACAAAATCGAAGGCTATAATCCGTGCTTTTTGATGAAATTTTAAGGTTTCGGAGCCCAGTTGCGAAAAGCCTTGAGACCCCTAAGGGTACATCTCGGGGTCATATAATAACATTTGAAACCATATATGATCATCATATGTTGTCATAAACGTCCGTGGTAGGCTTGAGTTTACGAAATCACTGCAAGTTGTGGACGGGTAAAATGACCGTTTAAGGGCATATTGGACGGTTCCACTGACCTAATTGGACTCCTGGAGAGTATTAGATACCATAATTAACATCTCGGAAATTTTTATTTCTAGATGAAAAATAGGCAAAAAATTACAAAATTGAAGGTTATAATAATCCATGCTTTTTGAGGTTTCGAGGCCCGGTGGTAAAACGTGTTGAGACCCTTAAGTATAAATCTCTGGGTCAAATAATGTTGTTTGAAACAATATATGATCATTATATGTTGTCATAAACGTATGTGGTAGGCTTGAGTTTACGAAATCATTGCAAGTTGTGAACAGGTAAAATGACCTTTTAAGGGCATATTGGATGGTTCCACCGACCCAATTTGACTCCCGGAGGATATAAGGGACCAAGATAAATATCTCGGCAATTTTTATTTCTAGGCTAAGTAATGTCAAAAAATTACAAAATTGAAGGTTATAATCCACGCTTTTTAGGAAAATTTGAGGTTTCGGGGCCCGGTGGTGAACAACCTTGAGACCTTAAGGGATACATCTCAGGGTCATATAATGCCTTTTGAAACCACATATAATCAGTATATGTTGTCATAAACGTCCGTGGTAGGCTTGAGTTTACGAAATCATTGCAAGTTGTAAACGGGTAAAATGACCGTTTAAGGACATATTGGATGGTTCCACCGACCCAATTGGTCTTCCGGAGGATATTAGATACCATGGTAAGCATCTTGGTAATTTTTTATTACCGGGTGTAAAAAGGTCAAAAAATTACAAAATTGAAGGCTATAATCCATGCTTTTTAAGGAAATTTTGAGGTTTAGGGGCCTATGGAGAAAAGCCTTGAGACCCTAAGGGATGCATCTCGGGGTCATATAATGCCATTTGAAACCATATATGATCATTATATGTTTCCATAAACGTCCGTGGTAGGCTTGAGTTTATAAAATCGGTGCAAGTTGCGAACGGGTAGAATGACCGTTTAAGGGCATATTGGATGGTTCCACCGACCCAATTGGACTCTTGGAGGGTATTAGGGACCATGGTAAGCTTCTCAACAATTTTTATTTCCGTGCGAAAAAAAAAAGATTAAAAAATTACAATATTGAAGGCTATAATCCACGTTGTTTTAGGAAATTTTGAGGTTTTGGGGTCCGGTGGCGAAAATCCTTGAGACTCTAAGGGATACACTTCGGGGTCATATAATACCGTTTGAAAGCACATATGATCATTATTTATTGTCATAAACGTCCGTGTAGGCTTGAGTTTACGAAATCACTACAAGTTGTGAACGGGTAAAATGTCCGTTTAAGGGCATATTGGACTGTTCTACCGACCCAATTTGACTCCTGGAGGATATTAGGGACCATGGTAAACATCTCGGCAATTTTTATTTCCGGGCGAAAAAAGGTTAAAAAATGCAAAATTGAAGGCTATAATCCACGGTTTTTGAGGAATTTTGAGGTTTTGGGGTTCGGTGGCGAAAAGTGTTGAGACTCTAAGTAATATATCTCGGTGTCATATAATGCCGTTTGAAACCATATATGATCATTATATGTTGTCATAAACGTACGTGATACACTTGAGTTTACGAAATCATTTCAAGTTGTAAACGGGTAAAATGACCGTTTAAATGCATATTGGACGGTTCCAACGACCTAATTTGACTCTCGGAGGATATTAGGGACCATGGTAAACATCTCGACAATTTTTATTTCCGGGCGAAAAAAGGTAAAAAAATTACAAATTTGAAGGCTATAATTCACGCTTTTTTAGGAAATTTTGAGGTTTGGGGGCCCCCTGTTGGGAAAAAGCATTGAAACCCTAAAGGATACATCTTGGGGTTATATAATGCCGTTTGAATCCAGATATGATCATTATATGTTGTCATAAACGTCCGTGGTAGGCTTGATTTTACGAAATCACTGCAAATTGTGAACAGGTAAAATGACCATTTAAGGGCATATTGGATGATTCCACCGACCCAATTTGACTCCCGAAGGATATTAGGGACCATGGTAAACATCTCGGCAATTTTTATTTCCGAGAGGAAAAAGGTCAAAAAAAATTACATAATTGAATGCTATAATCCACGCTTTTTAAGGAAATTTTGAGGTTTAGGGGCCTGTGGCGAAAAGCCTTAAGACCCTAAGGGATACATCTCGGGCTCATATAATTCCGTTTGAAACCACATATGATCATTATATGTTGTCATACGTCCGTGGTAGGCTTGAGTTTACGAAATCACTTCAAGTTGTGAAAAGTCGTTTAAGGCCATATGGGATGGTCCCACCGACCCAATTGGACTCTTGGAGGGTTTTAAGGACCATGGTAAACATCTCAGCAATTATTATTTCCCGACGGAAAAAGGTAAAAAAATTACAAAATTGAAGTTTAAAATTCTAAAGTACAACATAAGAGCTGAGCTTACATATTTGAGTAACCGATCTATTGTATACAAGTACAATGAGTCAATGAAGTTTTCTCCTAGTTTAGGGAGTCTCTAATGAAGTGTGTCCCCCTTTTGGATTTGTGTAGTACTGTTACGACTTTAGGACACACATTACTACTACACACTTAGACATCTTTTGAATATTTGTCAAAGAAAGTATTTTTGCCTCATTAACAAGATAATTAACGTGCAGTGAAATGTCCTAATTACCTTTAATCATATAAAGCTTTAGAGACATTTCACCTCAATTAGTTAAAGACAAATGTTTAAATATCCAACAACTTGTTTGATTAAAGTTTAATAGACGAATTAGTAATGCAGTTCGTATGACACTACAATCCAGGACCAGAATTTCCTGGTTCATACAAAGAGTATTAATATGGTTAGCTTGGAGCGTTTATATTCCAAAACTAGATTCAAAAGCTAAAAGACAGCTTGAATTTCCTTCTATGATGTAGCGCCAGGATCACTAATCACGCCCAGAAAATCATCTTTGATTGTACCAATGCAGAACTGCAAAATATCAAAAACAGAACGCTTACAATTGGAGCCAAAAAAACAAAAGCTACAGACAAACCTAGCAAATTTGTTGGATCAAATCCCTCCACACCATAACGGTCACTAATGTTTTTAGAGATTAAGCTTAGATAGCCAATTAGTGTGGCACTAGATATGAAATGTAGGGAGTGCTACAAGTGTGGCATAATTACATGTTTACTGAAATTAAGGACAGGAATATGTTGTCATATAAGATTAAAAAGCACACACTTGGATATTAACGCATAATTTACCACTTTCAAAAAATTTCTACTTGCATTCCAATTGCCAACATCATGAGCAATGGTGATTCTCACTCAAAATCCTACATCTTTCAATCTACCTCAAAGTAGTCCAACCCTCAATCTCATACTCACATGACTATTTGACCTACCACATCACACGAAAACTTAGAAGAAAATCTCAAACTGGACGACACATGAGCCCTTAGATGCAACGTGTACTTCATGTGGAGCATGTGAATGTAGAATGAACCCTAAGAAAACTAGGGCATAAGAGGAAAAACTGAGCTTCAGATATATTAGTAAGTGGAGAGTCAGGATAGCAACTGCATAATGCAATTTTGTGCGAAAGGAGAAGGTAGGCATACAATTTCTGTGGCATCAACTCGAGTTCCAATAATCTTCAACCGTACTTCAGTGTCTTTCTGAATCTTAACCTGCCAAAATCAGTCATACTGGGTCAAGTTCTGCACAATGATGAGACAAACAATTACCAACAACAGCAATTAAGCATCTTGGGATCTTAAGAGAACATACTGATCCATCTGATGTGGTATAATTTGGTGTATCAGCAGATTGGAACTCCATATCATCCGGTATCAGCTACATACAATTAAAAGATACATTCAAATCATAAAAACCTCAAACCAAACTACTTCGTATAATTCATTACGACAATAAAATAAAGATCAAATCAATGCAAATATACTATTATGACAAAAAATTGAAGATACTACAAGCACATTACCATATCACCAAATACTTGACATGAAAAATCACTACAAACTAAAAGAAAACTCATATGATTAGACACAAAGACCTCAACAGGACCAGCCTCAGCAAAATCCACTTAGAAATTGTCGAATTGTGATTGTGAGGTCAATTAAGGACAGAAAGAACAATTTTATGCTACTTACAAAAATTAAAAAACATAAAAATAAAACAAGATAAATTCCAACAGCAAGCCAGCGACAACAGTTAAGAAATAAGGAAAACCAAAATTTTTGACAACATCTACTTGTTTAGGAAATCTGGGCACCAAGCTGATATGTTCATATATATTTGGAACCAAATTGGAAGAGGAAGCCTAACTCGTGTTCAGCTTTGTAGCACCAATCCTATAGCAGATTAGAGCAGGAGCCTAATTTTTTTTTAACTTCACCGATGAATATCTACTTACAGATTATAGACAGTGTTTATTTAAGGCTGCCATAGGTTTTTTTTATTAGTTTAATTTATGAAGTAATTTCGAGATGCAGGAGGATTAAAAGAACTATAGGCCATTCAACATAAATAAAAGACACATGTCACAGCTTATATGCATCAACTGCATATCCCTGTGGATAAATCATCATGGAACATGATTAAGGTCCAAAATGGCTGGTTTCTTAAGTGTTTTAATTTGTTTTGTCTCCTATTTTCAAATGAGTTTGAATATTAGTTCACTTATACACTCTGTTTAGAGTTTCTAGAGTCCTTAGGGGTGTTTGAGGGGGCATTACATTATAAAATTCTTAATGATTCTTGATGAGGGGCAGGATTAGCTAAAGTAGCCAAGAAGTGATACAAACAATATCCACAAATTATAAACACCAGTTAAGAACACAAACTGCAGTAAAATCAGGAGCTCTAAAGATGTGGAGTTACAACTTCAAACTTCTAATGGGTTGAGATGGTTCAATTACTTGTAAGTGTTGTAACCCCTATGGCATTATCTATGACAAAGACAACAAAGTGTTTTAAGCCTATTCAAACGATACCGTAGCCAGTGCTACAGTGAAGTTCATATACCACAAAGCACACAAATGTCAAAACAAAAAAGGCAATAACAACAATTAAAGATCATAATGGGAATTATCAGAACAGCCAAGTTTATGATAATTAAAAGTCCGATTACTCCGTCACATCGAAATAATCAACCTTAAAAAGCAAATTCTGTTCACAGACTTGGCATTGGATATAGAAGGTTTTTTTTTTTTTTACAAACTCAAAGAAAACTCACATGATTAGACACAAAAACCTGAACAGGACCAGCCTCAGCAAAGAAACCCATCTGCAAATTTTCAAACAACAATCACAAAAATCGCTTTAATAAGCAGAATTAATCAACAAAGATTCAAATTAACAAAGGGTTTAGATGGGTTTAATACCTTATTAACCATAGTAACAACAGCTTCAAGAATCTCACCCTTAAAAGGGCGAAAAACAACACATTTATACTTAACAGGGAAAGTAACAAACCCAGTTCCATCCCTAATTAAACCCTTGCCAACATGCTCAATTCCCATGATTGCCACCACAAATCCATGGCGCCCACTGTAAAAAATCGAAAATTGGAAGAAACCCAGAAAACCCAATTCAATTAATTTCAATCTAAGTGAGAAATTACATGGATAGAAGTTGAATCGAAAAAATTAGGATTTGATTTGGAGAAAAACCTGCAAGTACCCTCAACATCTTTCATGAGCTTGGACACGAGTTTATCACGAAGGCGCGCGCCAAAGTGGCGGGGGTGAAGCTGCATATTTCTCTCGAGTATAATGTGGAAAAACATTGCTCCAGATTTTTCCAGTAAAAAAAAAAAAAAAAAAAAAAAAAAAAAAAAAATTTGCAGAGGGAAAGTGAGGAGAGAGAAAAAATTTGCAGAGGGAAAGTGGGGAGAGAGAAATTATGCACGATTATGTGAATGAGAGTTTGGGATTAAAAGTGAGGAGAGAGAAAAGTGAGGAGAGGGTGGGAATATATAGAGAATATAAATAACAAATTTTACAAAACTGCCCTTATTAAAATTATTATTTTATTCTTTTTATTAATGGCAAACATGTCATTTTTCCCCTTTTTCTATAATCCTATTCCTGTTCATCTTAGGATATGTATTACAGTATAAATGTTATGTACGTATTATTTTTAATTATTATTTTTTTTTAAATATGTTATGCACGTATTATTAAATTATATATATAGGTAAATAATTAAATAAACCAATTAACCCCTTTTATTTTATTTGTCTCACGTTTTCTTAGTTTCTATTGTTCCATGATCTCTTATTAAAACCTCTGTCAAATCACAACCCAATTGAGAAATTAAAGCAAACCTGAAGGATCCACATAGAATGATTATGCACAGACCATATATCAATAAGAAAACTTGCAAATATTAAGAGCAATTATAAAACAAGATTTATTGTATTATATTCTCTAATACAATTGATAATGATTTAAAAAAAATTACTTTCAATCATAAAAATCCATGACTAGTGATGAATTGCAGCGTCGAGTCGGTAGCCGGTAACTAACAGATGAGCAATGTAGAGATTAGAGATGGCGATTAGGCTTTTTCTAGGGCTTTGTATCATATATACATTGAGTTGCTCGATCAATTTTTTTTGGGTGTTCTATCCGGTTCACCCTTTGGGCTAATCCGAATTCGAGGATCAGTTCTGGGCTGTTAGGTTCCACTCCCCTGCCAATTTAGTGTAGTCTCAATCACCACTACACTTGATATGAAGGACCCGTGTTATAAATATTATATTATATACATATACTTTTTTATATTATAAAAAATATTATATTATATACACATACTATTTTACACAAAATATATTAATTTTCATACTATACGTAATTACATAGAATGTAAAGTACATGAAAATATTATCATACCTACATTCCAATTATATAATTAGAACTTTAACAATGTGTATTATTATGTATAAAAACAACATAAATTATTGCACATGATTGTAGTATATCTAGTATAGTACATGAGCAATGCACGAATTCATAAGTAATAGCATTGTTAGGGTATGTTCACATTTACTGAACTGAGCTGAACTGAACTGAACTGATTGGAGCTGAATTGAACTGATTAGAGCTGAACTGAACTGAACTGAATTGAGGTGAAATTAATATTTTATGAGAGAGGGAAATTAAGAGCTGAACTGAACTGAACTGATTGGAGCTGAACTAAACTGAACTGATTGGAGCTGAACTGAGCTGAACTAAACTGAAATTATGTAAATGTGAACAGGCCCTTAATACGAATATTACAATTTTAAACACGAGTAATAGTTATAATACATTTTATATCTGTCATTTCCCGTCAAATGTCTAATTCAGTTTAACATCTATTCTTCTTGTTTAGATTGGTTTCTGGTTCAATTTTTTTTACGTAAGAAAAACAAAAGGTCATTGTAAAAGACATTGTATAGAAAATAAAAGGCTGATTAAAATTAAATTTATATTCAAGATTATATATTTTTTTCCAAGACAACATTTCGGCTCAGCATTCAGTATTTGTCAAGGATAACAACAAATGATAAAAGTAATTTTTACACTATTTTGTATCTTTATCAAAAACTTTTGTATTCATTCGATAACTTGTATTGAATTTAGGATAACTTTTATAATTGGTGCACAATATTTTACTGTACATATGTTTTTTTTTTTAATGTATGTATTGATTTCATAATTGACGTCAAACTAAATTTTATCGATTTTTCAATTTTCATAAAAAAAACAATATTAGCCTTTCAAAATACAAAATATTTGTTTCCTTAATTATGCACTTTAATCATATTGCTTCAAATTAGTTACAGTATTATTCTTTAACTTGACTATAAATAAAGATTGAAAAGACATTATGGATTATTTGCAGTATTGAAAAATATATATTTTATCATTAAAAATTTAATCATGTTAGAAAATCATATAAATCTTATGCATGTATAGAAACTTGCTTTTATTATTTAAAGTTGAAAAAAAATAACTATGCTTGAATATGTAAACAATAATTATATAGATATATTTTATACATAAGATAAGCCAACGAGAGAGTGACATTTGTCATCCTCACATTGAGGCGCTTGTCTTTTAGTATAATATATAGATAGATAGATAGATATATAGATGGTTGAGTAACTAAAAGAAATGAAAATAAATTTGTAATCATGTTATTTTTAAAATATCCACATATAAGTTCACAATTATAATTTTAGAATTTATGAACACGAATAACTCTTTTTAATACAACTTTATTATCATATATATATATATATATATATATATATATATATATATATATATATATATATATATATATATATATATATATATATATATATATATATATATACACACACACACACATATATAAGATGTGTCATTGGAGTGATGATCAAAGTCCAATTTTAATGAATATTAGGTTAAGGCTTATGGTTTCAAATATTAATGCTAACAATTAATAAAATTTTATGAGGGAACATTATTGGTAATTAATACTAATAATAAGTGACATGGCGACACGTGGAAAAATTGGCAACACATAGCAAGATTACAATCCTTGCCATGAGTTTTAATATATACTGGATGAACCCCGTGCGATGCACGGATCGATTTATTTTTTTTAAAAAAAATATTTTTTCATATTTATGTGATTACATTTGTTATTTTATTAGTTGTACGTAATGTATCATTTTCTCCGTATTTGTTTTAAAATATTCCGTATTAATTAATATAACCATTAAAATCTCATTGGTCAATTATGCTTATGTGGCACTTGAATTATTTATTGGATATAACTATAATTTATAATCCTACGTGACATGTTAACTAATCTTAGGTGGCATAATCCTATTGTAGCGTTTTAAAAATATTGATCCTATGTGGCGCTCTAATAATTTTTTAAAAATAAAAATCCTACGTGGCGCTCAAAATCTCGGGAAAAAACTCCCCTTTAAATATACTTGTATATATTAGATTGATTGATATTGATTGATGATATTGATTGGAATATTGTTCTGCACAAGAGTTTCGCAAGCCATTTTGCATTTGTATAGTGTTAAACCCGTACAAAGCATGATCTTGTGCCACAATTCACTTCTTGCACTACGTATTTCGTATATTTTGAAGAACAACCATCATTATCATCAATGATAAAGGCAACCTCGTTTATAAGGCTCGAATGGATGGGTTCAATAGATTTATCATTGACATCAAAGTCTCATATCTAGGTGTCTTCAATCTAAGTCTTGCCGCAAAAAAGTGCAAGATATTGAGTTTAGAAATGCAAGATGAAGCCTTCAAATAGCAATTAGACTACTTGAAACATAACTAGCAGATAGTAAGATCAGTACAATGGTTCAAACAAAGATTGGTGTCAACAATGTACAGAGTGAATGGTCATTTACAGGACCAAATGTATATACACCAGCACCATGATTTTCTAATGAGAATTCCTTTCCCCCAAAAAATAAAAATAAAAATACAAAAATTTAAGAAAAAATATAGAAAATACAGAAATTGGGACGATTCTGATTGCCCACTAATCTGTCTGTTGCTTCGAAATTCCATGTTCAATCACAATACTTTCGAAGTACATTAAATATTCCTGTCTTCAACGATTAAGCAGGATGATACAATCTCTCAGCATTGAAGATAGCAAATGTGTGGCCTAAACTCAATTAGTCTTCCGAAATACAAACTGCACGAATAAAAGGTTTCTGCAAACAAATGAACAGAACCCTAGTTAGGTATTTGAAGTCAACAGCTATCTTCAAAGCAATACCATAGCAGAAGCCGAATTCCTAGGCTAAGTGAAAGACATTTGCATACATTGAGGTGAATATGTAACAAATTTGTATGTGACTTTACATAAATCATGCCCCAAGTATTCCTAATCAAATTTTTTCATCAACAAGGACATTCACATGGGACATGGCATGCACAATTATACTACTATAAAAGCTCGTTCTATTACCTAAGTTCATGATGTCAAAGGCCTGTCAAAATACTAGATGTGCACATTACCAATAGTACCTAAATAATCCTATTATCCCATGTCAAGAACTTAAGATTCTAGATGTGCACATGTTACCAGTAGAATTAAGTACTAAGTTTACAATTCCACATTCATACAAATAACTATTGCTTCAATTTAAAGCAAACTAAGCATATGAAGTCACTATATTCACCAAGTAACTAAGAGAAACTCGTCATCCATAGAGATGCAGATTCAATGGGTAGCTTGAAATCCCATACCCTGACCATATACTCTTGCAACTTTCCCGAGAGGAAGAACAAGGTCACAAAAGAAAATGAGCAGTGAATCACAGGTTCGCAACATTCCAAATCAAAAGCACGAAAGCAAAGCAAATCTCCACTTCTAAAAAAATGATTTCCTGCAGGCACATTTTGACATGCCATGATTGATGATACAGTCATGTTCCACCTAAAATCCCAACTACCTGTATGGCTGTATAACTAACTGCATTTTGAAAATCAATCATAAGTATCAATATCTGCTCTTTCTTTAACACACCTAAATAAAAATCCAACATTGAGCCTTTCTTTAACACAGCTAAAAGACTTACTCTTAACAAACTTCTATAATTTATGCAATGAGAGAACTAAATTGATTTCAGAAGGTATAAATTACAAATAGAGTTAAACAGTAGTTTTTGTTTATTTATTTTTAAATTAGAAATTAAACAGTTCTTCTGAAGTCAATGGGAATGAACAGATATACATGGCATTTTGTCACCGTTGACCTTTTACCTTAATAAGGGGTTATTATTCATAAGTGCAATAAATTCCATATATCATGCCAATAATTTTGATGATTCAGTTGACCAAGCATCACTTCAAATTCCAATCAAAATTTTCATTGACAAGACAAGTAGAAGGTATTTCACAAAAATAATAACCTGTACACTCGCTGCAGTTGTTTCTGTGTGAAAGGAAGAGAGGCAAAAGCCCAAAAGTATCAAATAATTGGATCATAATGTCTGTTCTCATGATAGAAGGCAGCACAAAAAGGGGGCATATGTTACCAGCAAGTATATGCTCCTTTTGCAAGTAGGAGCAATGAGTCTATGACAGCTTTTTATCAAGGAGGTCTATGATTTGGCAACATTACAATCAGCAAAGAGCCAAAAAGTAAGCACAAAGTGCTTTTTTTGTATTTTTTTATTTAATGTGACGAAGACAAATGGTATGCCTAATGAGCTTTCTCATCAAAATGTATTTGGTGAACACAGAGAGACGCTATTATTTTAGATTGGAGATGTTTTGTAAAAGAATAAGAGGGATTATATATATATTTTTTAAAAAAGCGGGGCAGAAATCAATCCTCGACTAAAATGCTGTACACCAGCCACGTGCCATTAGAGCTTGTGAGATCCTACTTCTTTCAGATACAGGATTGAGAAATTGTTTCAATGTTGGAGCAGCTATAATACACTAGGGTGAATAAAGCCATGACGAACAAATTTTTTCAAAAAAGAGGAAAAATAACAAAGAGCTCAATGAATAGCTTAATACATCTAACATGTACACATGCATAAAATGGCATAAAACACTAGGTTGAATAAATAAAAGTTTATGAGACAGCCAACCTGAGCAAAGAATGATGACTACATCATCAAATCCTTGATCAAAGAAATCTTCTTCTCTCTGACGGCTTCAAGATTTGAAACGAGCACATCAAGCTCTCATCAACACTCATCATAGCACCAGCATTATCAAATTCACCACAGTAATTGGGAGCAGAGAAAATCGTAACAAGCTGTCTATCAGCAAAAAATTCATATCCATCTTCCACAACCTGGACAAAATCATAAAGATGAGCTAAAAGGTTACAGAGGATGAACAAAAATACAGCAATGGAAACATTTATAACCTGATGTGCACGACAAATTAGGTCCATGTCATTCTTCATTAAGAAGTCGGCCACTTTATCAGCACCAAAGGTGTAAGAGACTCCCCGATCATTCATTCCCCAACCTTTAACCTCTCTAGAAGGGTCTGACCACAATAAATCGCATAGCAAACCAGATTCAGGTACATCAGTCGGCCGAGACAAACTCTTAATCTGATCCACGTTAGTCAAATCAGGTGAGAGACCACCATGCATGCACAATATTTTGTCATCTATAACAGCAGCAACAGGAAGACAATTAAAACAATCAGTAAATGTCTTCCAAAGTCTAACATTAAAGCGGCGTTTACATTCATCATAAAATCCATAGATTCTATTAATGGATGCGCATTCATGGTTCCCCCGTAAAAGGAAGAAATTTTCTGGATATTTAATTTTGTAAGATAGCAAAAGGCAAATCGTTTCTAAACTCTGCTTGCCCCGGTCCACATAGTCCCCTAAAAACAAGTAGTTGGCTTCGGGAGGAAAACCACCATATTCAAAAAGTCTCAAGAGGTCACCATATTGCCCATGGATATCACCTGCAATCAAAGAAAATACAAAAGAAAGCAGTCAAATCTAAAGACTATTATCATCCATCTCAAGCAGCGCAGAACACAGTAGAGAAAAAAATAAAGAAGATTCAGGCTTCTTCAAGGTAACAAGAAGCTGCTGGCACTAAATTAAGAGCTACAGGCCTACAGTACTAGCAACAACAGAGGGTAATTGATTGTGAAATCAATCACACGATCAAAAAACTTCACAGAGTATCATAAACAAGGCTATAGTCTACTAACAGCGAGAGCCAATAACAGTATAAGGACTTCAGAATTAAAAATATATCTTCAACTGGACATGGATCCCTTCATTTCAACAAATAAAAAATGGCATTTAAAAATTGCAATGAACAGAAGGAGCCCTTTACTCTTTATAAAATAGGGGTATAAATAATTTGATTAACTAATACAATAAAATTACAATTTACTATAAATCTATAACATTTTTCAAAATTTGCAATAAGTGCTACAGTATTAAGGGGAAAAGACAAATACTATGTAGGAAATAGGCCTTAAAAACATAGGAAGTATGATATCATTATTATTACTCATACTTTGGCAGAAAGGTTATCCAATTCGTACCACCATTTCATTTCATTTCCTTTTATTACAATATTAAAAGTGTTCAAATTTCACAGCACATACCGAATTAGCATAAAAAAACCACATAATCATCTCCCCATAAGCTCTTAAAGCTAGACAAAAATCCCTATTACAAATTCAAAAGGTTTTCCAATTTTACATATACTTGGGAAGTATGATATCATTACTGTTTCTCCAGCTTATACAGAAAAGTTTTTCCAATTCGAACCACCAATTTCATTTTAATACAATTTTAAAGTTGTCTGAATTCCATTACAAATACCCACATCATCATCAATAGGTCACATAGACAGTTTCCCTGAAGCCCTTAAAGCAAGATGCCTAAAGAACAAACTTGAAATTAGACATACATTCCTGCCAATCTTATAATACATGAATAGCCAAGGTAATCAATAGCTATTTTGCTTGACATACAAGTGAACTATCCACCAACTAACATGAATGATTCCGCTCCCGCTTTATGTCAAAGACAAAGTTCAATATTATTGCCACAATCACAAAGTTATGACTTACAATCTATACTTCATAATTCATTCATATGATCATCCTCCCCTCCCCCACAATTATAAACAAAAGAAATGCAACACCTCCTAATCATCATCCCATAATTACATTAGCTCCAACACATCCAATCAATCATAACCCACATATAATCCAATTACAATCAGCTCAAAACAAATCCAACAAACCTCAAAACAAACAAAATCATCAAAACTCACACCTTTTTATTCAATTATCCCACACCCCCCACCCCACCATGAAAATCCATCCAAAAACACAATCATTCAACATATCATTCAAAACACAATAAAAACACACAAAATTCAAAACACCCACCAAAAATAATTACTCATTCTTAAAAATTGTGAAAAGCAGAAAAAAGGGGTAAAAAAACAATGGTAAAAAAAAAAAAATTGAAATTAGAATACCGCAGATCTTGATGGGGGCTTCAAGCTCCAAAAGGTTAGGTTGTTGCAAGAAGATTTCCTTAGCAGCGGTGCAAAGTTGGCGGATCTCTGACTCAGAAAGCTGAACCTGTCTCGCAGCACCTGGTCTCGCGTTTCGAAAATCCAATAGCCTGTTTATTATATCGTCCAATACAGCTGGTTCCATTGATCTTTCTCTCTATTACCCGTTTCGAAACGTTTCAACAAAAACACACCAAAAAAGCACCCTCAAAATCAAAACTCTAGGTTTCCCAGAAAATGAAAGGGAAATGGGTGTAATTTTTTATGCAAATTGCTCAAGTTTGAAGGTGCTTATGGTGTTAGCAATGTGGTATTTTGTTTTTTTGAAAATAAATAAAAATTGTTGAATTTGAATTAAAATTAAAATTACCCTTTTGGGTGGGATGGTGGGGGTGTTTGTTAATTGCAAAGAAAAGCAGGGATTAAGAGAGTAGGTAATTATGAAAACATTAGATTAATGATAATGGAGGGTTGATTGTCTCTCTCTAAAATAAAATTAAAAAATTGGGTTTCTCTCTCTAGTTGCAGAGGAAATGGAGGGGAAAAGGGAAGAAGAAGGAGAAGAAAGGGTGGCTTTGGCTGTAATGCTAAGATCTCATTCGACGGAAATTTTTTCATTATTTTTTTGCTTTTTAGGTCAAATTTTACCCTTTCTATTCTCATTTATTCCAAAAAACGCCATTTCCATAAATTGTTTTTATTTTATTTTATCAATTACTGTGAAAAAATTAATTTAAGCCTCATAAAGGTAATTTTCTTAAAAAAAAAAAAAAAGATAAAGGTAATTTATTTTTTCCCTTCAGAAAAAGGCTTAATGATTCCATATTTCCATCCTCTTTTTAAGCATTATAAATACATTTTATTTTTAATTTTTTTTTAAATAAATAAATACATTTTATTTAAAACAATGTTTACGTGTCAGGTGACACTTTATCATTTACGAGTATTGTTTAAATAGTGTTTGGTTAATATTATTATACTATATGCCTATCTATTAAAAAAAACACACACACACAAATCAAATATCAAAAGGTAGTGAACAATGGTATGAGAAATTAGATTATACAGTATTATGAGAAGTGTATGCTAGAAATTAAATGTGTAATTGTAAATTCTATGTAATTTTCTTATAATGATCGTGGGCCTATCTTGGGTCCCAAATACGGAGTACTAGTTTCATATTGCAAACAAACATTATCAATTTAATCAAGTATAGGCGATCTTCACATTTGAGTTACTCCCTTCATTCTATAATAATTTGATGCAATTTGACTTTTATCATAACATTGGCTACTTGTTTAAAAATAAAAATCAAATACTTGAAATTAAGCGATCAAGTCAAAATATTTGCAGCTGAAGTCTGGTGCTTAAGAAAAAAAGAAGAAGAAAAGAAAGGAAGCAATCAAATCCTTAATGTATTTCCATTCTTCCATCATTGAATTAATACACCAACAACTAGTATGTGGCATGAGCGAGATTTTACTTTGATTATCAATATATATTATTTGAGCTAAAAATAATAAAATATAATGTATTATAATAATAAAAAAAAACATTAATAATCATGAAATTAAATAAGTGCTCTCAAATTATATTTATACAAAGTATTTGGTTTATTATAATTGAATATGAAACATAATTTAAAGATAGCAAAGATGGTAAGGACATTTATTCATTTCTTACTGTTCTTGTATGTGTTCAAACCTTGTGAGCTATGATAATTTTTTTTTTTTGAAAGATATGATAATCATTTTTATTGTTATGTTTATAAAATAATGGATGATGTGTCATTAAAAAATAAAAAAAAAAAAAAAAAAAACTCCCTTCGTATATTTTACTGATTTTCTATTTTAGTTCTTCTTTAAAGATACTGAATTGTTGAACTTATTTTTACTGAAATTAAATTAATTTTTTAAAAGATGAAATAAATAGGTCCTTATGCATCAAATCACTAAATTTGGAAGTAAATCAAGTCAAATAAATATTTAGACCATACAGTCTACTCTATCCATTGACTATTAAAAGATTTGATTTATTTCCATAATACAACCTATAATGCATTGTATCCATAATGATCATATGAATGTTACTTGATTTTTACCTTTTCTGTATCTATAAAATGAGGATCAGTCATATCTTATCATATCATCAAAACTTAATAATTCACAAATTGAATAAAAAATGGTCAAATTCATGTATTGTCAAATTCAATTGTTCATCCTTTTACTTGGCCTTTTTGCTGCGGGAACTTTGTCTCTTAAGGCTAATGATGATCGAAAGGCAAGTTACGACATTGTTGTCTTTGTTGTTGTTGTTGTTTTTGTTGTTGTTGTTGTTGTGTTGATGATGATTATGATTTCATCGGTTTAATTTTATTGTGCAGGTATATATTGTATACATGGGTTCGATTTTTGAGTAACACGTTGTTACGTCCGAGTATCACATTGATATTCTCCAGCAAGTTTTAGAGGGCAGGTCAGTAGCTATAATTATGTAACGTACGTACTCCATTTTTTTTTAAAGAGCAAATCAAATTGACTTTATGTTTTTGGTTATCTAGTTGATATTTTCTCACGCTATCTAAAATATTGATTAAGTTCTTATAAAAATTTGGATGATTCATTCTATAGTAATCATCTTTATTTTTTTTTTATTTTTTATTTTTTTTTACGAGAAGAAAAAGAATTTCATTAATGAAAGATAACCAAACGGCACTTACAAACAATTCCTAGGAAATCTAAAATTCCAATACAAGTACAAATCACCTTAGAATTAGTTACATCGCAGATTCGATCAACAATCGACTTAATAAAAGCTTCATCCAAAGCAATACAATCTGTGAGTTAGCACTAATTTGGCTTGAGATCCACGGATGAGTAATTATTTGGGTGAAAAAAAAAACTTATATGACCTTCTAGATACTTTCAGAGACGATAAAACCCTAAATCTTTAACCTTTAGCACACGAACAAACAAAAGGAATAAGCCTAATTAATTGAATAAACATCATCATAAAGATGATGAGATTCATTTATTGAAAACAATTAAAAAGTTTTTTTGGCTTATTAGTTTCCACCGGTAACAACACCAATTCAAGCCCCTACAAAAATTTACAATGGAGATCAGAAGAATAAAGATGAAAGAGAAAGAAAAAAGGAGAAGAGTTAAGGAAAACCTTCAAAAAAATCAAAAAAAGTCTCACAATGGAGGCTAAAAAAACCCTTCCACGAAGAAACCTTAGAAGGAATCGAAAAACCATCTGAAGGAGAAAACCTAAAGGGAACAACTAAGTTTATTATCTTTTTACAGTAATCATCTTTAAAATGACTATGATTATACTAATTTTTATTTAATTTGTTGATTTATTAATTTTGAGATAATTTATATATATATATTTTTTTTTATAATTTTCTAATTAATTTACATTTTTTTGTTTTTTGAAAAACACAAAATTTGGTTTTTATTATTACTGAAATAAAAAATAATTCATAATTAATCATGAAAAAAAAGAAGAAACATTTATAATAATTTGACATAAAAAATACTTCATAAATAAAACTCATCAAATAAAAAAAAATACAATGGTAATCGTTTTAAGGATGAATAATGACTAGATATAATTTTCATAACATTTTTTGCTTACATGTATAGTGACATGCCTTGTCTTTCTACTTTGAACTATCTATATTTTCCAAAGCACGGCAGAAGAGTCGTTGGTAAGAAGTTACAAGAGGAGTTTCAATGGTTTCGCAGCAAGGCTAACCGAGAAAGAGAGTAAAAATCTCAATAGTAAGAAATAGTATCATCAAAATTACAAATTCTTTTTTAAATTTATATTTGATCCATATATATTGATCGATTGTTATAAATTGATTGATTAATTTGCTTTGTTAGGTATGAAGGTAGTAGTATCTGTGTTTCCTAGTAAAACACTCCAACTTCAAACAACGAGGTCATGGGATTTCATGGGTTTAGTTGAAAGTGATGAGGTTCCAAGAAACTTGACTACTGAGAGCAATGTGATACTCGGTGCCCTTGACACCGGAGTCTGGCCTGAATTACCGAGTTTTAGCGATGATGGTTTGGGACCTCCCCCTAAGAAATGGAAAGGCGCTTGTAAGGGCGGAAAAAATTTCACTTGCAACAAGTATACAAAAGTTTGATTTGTGTACTCTGTAAAAAAAAAAAAAAAAAAAAAACATTGAATTCTTTTCAGTTTATTTTCAGTTCAGTACAGTTAATTCAGTTCCAATCAGTCAACTCTCAGTAAATCAGAACAAACCCTTAATAAACAATTTTCAATTCCATTTTGCAGCAAAGTAATTGGAGCTAGTATTTTTGCCTTCGAATCTGCAAGAGATGTAGACGGTCATGGAAGCCACACAACGTCAACAGCTGCTGGGAGACATGTAGATCATGCTAGTTTTTATGGTTTGGCAGAAGGAGTTGCGAGAGGAGCAGTACCCTCTGCTAGGATCGCCGTATACAAAGTCTGTGAAGGCCAAAGCGGTTGTGAGGACTCAAATATTCTTGCAGCTTTTGATGAATCGATTGCTGATGGAGTAGACATAATTACAATTTCCATAGGATTACAAAGTGCAATTTCATTTTCTGAAGATAGTATCGCGATAGGTGCTTACCACGCGGCACAGAAAGGGATACTGACCGTGAACGCTGCTGGTAATAGCGGAAACGCGAGTGTTTCTATATCAAGTGTTGCACCCTGGTTATTCAGTGTTGCAGCAGGATCCAGTGATCGTCGGATACGTGATAAAGTTGTCCTTGGAAATGGAAAAACTCTAGTTGTAAGTATTCTCATCATAAAAGTAATTTTTTTAAAAATTAAAAAAATAAGAGAGAATTTTCTAAATTTCTCTCTATCTATAAGAACAAATATAGTTATGTAGGATCTAGTTTTATTCTTTTTGGTGAGTAGATTGTTAATAATTAATCTAACTTTTATAATTTTTGCTAGTGTGAGATTAAAGATATTTGCATTCAAAGATAGATAAAAACTTATATCGATTTACATAAACAGGAACATCATTTTGAAACGAAGGGAGTATCATCTATATCAAGATATGAACGTGTGATACTTACATGTGTTTGTTTTAAAATGCAGGGTTATTCTATCAATCCTTTCAAGTTAAAGAAAGGCTTGTTTCCTTTAGTTTTTGGTGTAGGTTCAAGTCAGTGTTCCAAGGATGATATAAAGTAATCTTCGAATCATTAAATTTGTTATCCACATTTAAACATTATTGTAATTTATTAAGGATCATATAATGTTTCTCAATGCAGACTTTGTGCGGCAGACTGTCTAGATGATAATGTAAAAGGAAAGATTGTAGTGTGTGATGCCTCTGAAGATATTGCAATTAGGGAAGGTTTCAGAGCCGGTGCACTAGGGATATTGGCAAAAGCTTCTATTGAATATGCTCAATTGTTCCCTTTGCCTGCAATTAAGTTGGAATCCGATGAATTCGAAGAACTATTATCCTACCTGAATTCAACAAAGTATGATACTCACTCAGCTCCATTCATGTAATGCATATATATATATTCATTTGATGTAATGCATATATATTGAGTCGTATATAGTTTTACATTTGTATTTTAAGTTACTCAAGTATACCAAATTCATGTCAAATTATTATATCTATGTAGAAATCCTAAGGCAAATATCCTCAAGAGTTTCTCCTTTAATGACACTTCCGCTCCTTATGTCATCAAATTTTCTTCTCGAGGACCTAATAGAATTACACCGGATATCCTTAAGGTAAACTTGAAGCACAACTTAGCATTCCCTTTTTCCCCTTCTAATTCTTCCAAGAGTTTTGCGCCGACTATATTGTTGCAGCCTGATATCACAGCGCCAGGAGTCGAAATTATAGCTGCATATTCACCTTTGGCTTCTCCAACTGGAATTGATGGAGACGATAGATCTGCAAATTATACGATTATATCTGGTACATCCATGTCTTGTCCTCATGTCGCGGGTGCATCTGTTTATATAAAATCGCTTCATCCAGATTGGTCTCCTTCGGCGATTAAATCTGCTCTGATGACTACAGGTAATTAAATTTTCAAGTAACGACGTACAATTTTCTTCTTAGTCATTTTCAGTTTTAAGAAATTGAAATAAATTAGTTACACTAATATATGTTCTTCTCATGTTTGCAGCACGACCTATGAGCCCGTCTAAGAACCCAGACGCCGAATTTGCCTATGGATCAGGGCATCTTGATCCTGTAAAGGCTGCAAATCCCGGACTTATTTATGAAACACTTGAAGATGAATATTTAACATTATTCTGTAAGTTGGGTCTCAGCAAAGAGCAAATTTCTCTGATTACGGGTAACAAGAGTTTCTCATGCCCAAAAATTAGTACTCGTAACAAAAGTTCGTTACCAATAGATGTTAACTATCCTTCCCTCTCTGCCATGGTTGATATTGGTAAACCGTTCAATGTCAAGTTTAGTAGAACAGTCACCAATGTTGGAGATGCTAATTCCACCTACACCGTAGAAGTCGAATCGCCCAAGGAATTTACGGTCACAGTGAATCCTACTTCTCTTTCATTTACATCATTGAATGAAAAGAAGTCGTTCGATGTGACTGTTGCAGGCAAAGGATTTTCTGATGAAGGTTCAAGCTCCGTTGTTTCAGCATCAGGATCATTGGTTTGGTCTAATGGACAACATAATGTTAGAAGTCCTATTGTTGTATACTCTATAGGAGATTAGGACTATGGTAGTATGGTTGCTCTAATTTTGTCGTTGTTTTGTGTTTATTCAAAACACAAAGGATAATACAAATCGAATTAAAATAGATCACTTCAATTCTTTGCCTATAATTAATTTTTGCATTTTTTGCAGTGCATTGATGCTGCTAAATTAAACTTATAACTTCATAAATTTATATAAATCGAGGCCTCAACCATCGAATGAAACTATTGGTTGAGTTAGTCTTCTAAAATAGTATAAGAGCTAATATGACACAAAGGTCACGGGTTTGAATCTCGTCCACCCTCTTTTCAAAATGAAATATATTAACTCATGAGTGGGTTATTAGACAGGGTAGTCCAATGATAATAGGGCCAGGGCCAAGCTTATAGGGCTTTTAATGGACAGGGCTATTAATGGACAGGGCTCTTATTGGGTAGGGTCAATATAGGGCCAACATGCTTTTCCAATTTAGTTGATAAAGAAAATACATAATGTAAAAATAATTGTATAGATTAATTTGTATTCATATGTATTTAATAATGGTTTTGTCCAATATTTATTTTAATTGATATTTTTGTAGGCCCGCTCATTATCGACCCGTGACCCGCATTGGCCCGACCCTATATTGACCCTATAAAATGTGACCCTCTTTGACCCTGACCCGCAACCGACCCGCACCGACCCTGACCCGACCCACCCAATAACCAGGTCTACTCATGAGTATGATATGAGGCTCATGTTGCATCCTTATCTTTGTTATTAGAAAAAAAAATTATTAACAGCTTCAATTGTGGACTAATGGTACGCTTTGATATTTTTCAAACCGAACCGCATCATATTACTATTTGGTCAAACCAAACCACATCATTTTTAATTCGGTTTTTTTAAAAAAATAAATCAAACCAAGACACAATTATTGAGCCTAGTATATCGGGCTTTGATTTGTAACTTTTTTGGGCCTAATTTTTCAAAACCTTGTAAGATTGAAGGACAACAGATTGGGTTTATTTTTTCGGCCTATATGTAGGGCTGAAATCAGAATTATAATTAGATATGGGCCAAATTTTCAGTTTGGATTTTGGTTTTTCGAAATCCAAAACGAAACCAAATCGCAAACCATTTTTTTTTTTTTGCAAAATAACTACATTTTAATATTATATCTTTTTCCTTTCATGGTCCTCATCTAAACCCATTAGTATTTTTTATTATTTATGTCATCTTACATTCATTACTCTTCAGTAATAAACAATTAACCCAATTATCTTTCTTTTAAAATTTTTTAATACTTCAAGCACGACTTAGGGCCTGTTCACAATTACTAAATTGAGCTGAACTGAACTAAACTGAACTGAGTTGAAATGAATATTTTATGAGGGAAAGAAATTAAGATCTGAACTGAACTAAACTGATTGGAGTTGAACTGAACTGAACTGAAATTAAGCTGAAGTGAACAGACCCTTAATTACCTCTTATTTCCCGTTCAAAAAAAAAAATACCTCTTATTTTATTGAAGTCAATTAGAATGCCTAAAACTATGTGCTGATCAAAGTCTAACACTAACTTATTAAAAGTACGGAGGGAGTATTAATTTGATAATACATGACAAAACATGTATTTACCAGTATAATTAATATGATGTATATACGTAACGTAACTTAAGATTTTCAAATACTCTATAACCTAGTTAAGCTTGATTTAGTGGAAAGGAGAGTATCTTCAAACCATGAAGTTGGAGGTTGATCAATCTCCACTAGTGACAACTTGGGGATGAGATCTCTTACCTTCTCATTCCCCGCCTTCCCTTCACTTTCCCAAATTATCTAGCCCGTTAAAATTTAGATAATTTCAAGTCTAATACAATGAATATAGCACATCAATGCACCCTAAGTCACCCAATAATAAACAAATTTGTTACATTATACAACAAATCACTAAATTTAGAAGTAAATCAAGTCAAATAATTATTTAGACCATATAGTCTACTCTATCCATTGACTATTAAAATAATTTATTTATTTCCAAATGCTACCTATAATTGCATTATATCCATTAGTATTATATTAAAAAAAAAAAGTTAATTGATTTTTGCCTTTTCGGCTTTTCTGAATCTATAAAAATGAGGATCAGTCATCTCATATCATCAAAAATTTATAATAATAATTCACAAATAAAAAATGGTCAAATTCATGTATTCTCAAATTCAATTGTTCATCCTTTTACTTGGCCTTTTTGCTGCGGGAATTTTGTCTCTTAAGGCTAATGATGATCGAAAGGCAAGTTACGACATTGTTGTCTTTGTTGTTGTTGTTGTTTTTGTTGTGTTGATGATGATTATGATTTCATCGGTTTAATTTTATTGTGCAGGTATATATTGTATACATGGGTTCGATTTCTGAAGAACACGTTGTTACGTCCGAGTATCACATTGATATTCTCCAGCAAGTTTTAGAGGGCAGGTCAGTATCTATAATTATGTAACGTACTCCATTTTTATAGAACTAATTATAGACATCATTATTTTTTGGATTCGTGCCTACATCAATATACTAACTTTTAATTAATTTTGAATTATTTTATACTAAATTTCAATGATTTTATAAATGACTACCATTATACTAACTTTTTATTTATTTATTTTATTTATTTATTAATGTCACAATTAATTATAAATCATATTTAATTTTTAAAATTTATATATGAAGTATTAATTTACTAGTTTACATAATGATATGCCTTTTCCTTTTTATTTCGAACTCTACATTTGAAAGTACGGCAGAAGAGTCGTTGGTAAGAAGTTACAAGAGGAGTTTCAATGGTTTCGCAGCAAGGCTAACAGAGAAAGAGAGTAAAAATCTAAATAGTAAGAAATAGTGCCATCAACATTACAAAGTCTTTTGTAAAGTTATGATCCATATATATATATATATATATTTATTGCATTATATTGATTGATTTTTTTTTATTAGGTAAGAAGGAAGTAGTGTCTGTGTTTCCTAGTAAAACACTCCAACTTCAAACAACGAGGTCATGGGATTTCTTGGGTTTAGTTGAAAGTGATGTGATTCCAAGAAACTTGACCACTGAGAGCAACGTCATACTCGGTGCCTTTGACACCGGAGTCTGGCCTGAATCACCGAGTTTTAGCGATGATGGTTTCGGACCTCCCCCTAAGAAATGGAAAGGTGCTTGTAAGGGCGGAAATGATTTCAAGTGCAACAAGTAAGTATCCTTGTTTATACAAATCGCACAAATCGTCTAGCAATATTGTAACTAACATATACAAATCGTGCAAATCGTCTAGCTATAGCTATCAATCATCAATCATATAACTAATATATAAAGCTAAACTTTTAGCCAGGTTATGAGACAACGACACTTGGCGTTCCAACTTTTTGCCAAGTGTCGCGCCACGTTGGATAGATTTAAATAGAACTCATAAGATAAAAAAAGTTAATTTAGACTTCTATTTGGATATAATTTTAGGATAAAATTAGTTTTATTTTCGATAAAATACCAATATTCCAAATGTACAGATTCAATTATAATTTTATTAAAATAATTATTAGATTATCATTCTTAAAAATTAATAAATTATTTTTTGTATCATAATATTTTTTAGGCAAAGGAAATAGTTCAAAGCGTAAAACATACATTTATAATATATACTAATCGGTTAGAATAATATACTTCACAATCTAGCAAATCGTATAAAGATTAAAAATTTATTTTATAATTCAATAAACAACCCGAGCATCGCACGGGGCACAAAACTAGTTTTCAATATTTATATACTAAAAGACACACCAGCGATGACATGTGTCATCTCTTGGTGTGTCCTTAGTTAATTTTTTTTCTTTTTTATTTAAAAAAATATTTTAATTAAGGAAATAAATCATTTACATATATATATATATATATATATATATATATATATATATGTGTATGTATATATTTTGTACATATTCCATATTGACACGTAATAGTTATTATATTTAAAATAAAAGATTTATTCACAAATTTTTCTAAGAAAAATTGGGCAATATATATCAAAAATCAATATTTTTAAATAATTAGTGACCTATTTTACAATAAAAAAAAAATATATTGCTCAGATTTTTTGCCTTCTTTGTTTTAGTTGTGTATTGAAAGCTACAATCTACAATTAAAATTGCAAATATCAAATTAACATATCATATACTCTCTCCGTCCCTAAATTACATTACTACTTCCCTTTATTATGTGAGGAATAAATGCTAGAAGTAGGAATGTAATTTAGGGACCGGGGGGGTTACTTTTAGTATTTCATGACTAATTATGATTATAATATTTCTCAATCAATAATATATAACTATATATAAAGATTACCGTGCATGGCACGGGATCTAACCTAGTAGAAATGTAAAGGAGATCCGGCAGACTTTCACGTGTTACTCATGTGAGTTAAACAAACAAACAAAAAAAAATCCCCCAAAATTTCCCTCGTATTCGAACTACCCCTTTCATTTCCCCCCTTTCTCTTCCTTTTGCTATCCCAAAATTTTGGTTTACTTTTTATTTTTAAACTCACGTAAAAGTCAACAATGGAGCTCCGGCGACCACCCGAAAAACTCACCCAAGTACCCCTACAAAAATAATACAACTTAAAAGGTCATTTTTCACTTAAAAGGTTATTTTACAAAAAGTCAATCGGGTCATTTTTCACAAATTTTTTTTTATTTTTTTATTTTTTATTTATTTATTAATGTAAGAATGTTATTAAGAAACTTAAAAAAATCATTTGAAAAAACTTGTACGAAAAAACTAATTCAATTATTGTACTCTGTAATTGATAGAATTTGTGTACTCATTCCTGTAAAAAAAAAAAAAAAAACCATTGACTTAATAAACAATTTTCAATTATTCCATCTTGCAGCAAAGTAATTGGAGCTAGTACTACCTTTGATTCTGCAAGGGATGATAACGGTCATGGAAGCCACACAGCCTCAACAGCAGCCGGGAGACATGTAGATCATGCCAATTTTTATGGTTTGGCAGAAGGAATTGCAAGAGGAGCAGTACCCTCTGCTAGGATCGCCGTATACAAAGTTTGTGGCGGCGAGAGCTGTTCGGATTCGGATATTCTTACGGCTTTTGATGAAGCGATTGCAGATGGGGTGGACTTGATTACAATTTCCATAGGATCAACAAATGCAATTTCATTGTATGAAGATAGTATCGCGATAGGAGCTTACCATGCGGCACAGAAAGGTATTCTAACCGTGAACTCTGCTGGTAACAGCGGAAACACGAGTAGTTCTGTAGCAAGTGTTGCACCCTGGTTATTCAGTGTTGCAGCTGCCTCTAGTGATCGTCGGATACGTGATAAAGTTGTCCTTGGAAATGGAAAAACACTGCTTGTAAGTATTCAATCTTTATCATAAATGTAATTTTTTTGTATTACCAAGAATCAACATGTATGTGATTGTTTTAAAATGTAGGGTTATTCTATCAACCCTCTCAAGTCGGAGAAAGGCTTGTTCCCTTTAGTTTTTGGTGTAGGTTCAAGTCAGTGTTCCAAGGAATCCATAAGGTAATCTTCAATTCATTGAATTTGTTATCTACTTTTGTACATTATTATTGTAATTTATTAAGGATTATATAATGTTTCTCAACGCAGAAATTGTTCGTCAGGCTGTCTAGATGAGGAATTTGTAAAAGGAAAGATTGTAGTTTGTGATAACTCATATGATTCTGTAATTGATGAAGCTTTAAGAGCCGGTGCACTTGGGGTATTGTCACGCGTTGCTATTGAATTTGCTCAGTTTTATCCATTGCCTGCCATTAGGTTGGAACCCAATGAATTTGAAGAACTATTATCCTACTTGAATTCGACAAAGTATGATACTCACTCAGCTCTATTCATTCATGTATAACTATGTATTTTACTTTGTATATAAGTGTCATTTAATGTTATGCATATATGTTGAGTCGTACATATAGTTTTACATTTGTATTTTAATTGAATAGAGGATACCATATTCATGTTAAAATGTCAAATAATTATTCTTTTTGTGTAGAAATCCTAAGGCAAACATCCTCAAGAGTTTCTCCTTTAATGACACTTCTGCTCCTTACGTCATCTACTTCTCTTCTCGAGGACCTAATATTATTGCATCGGATATCCTTAAGGTAAGCTTGAACCACAACTCTGCATTTATTCCCTGTTTTTTCTCCCCCTCTAATTCTTTTAAGATTTTTGCGTCCACTATATTGTTGCAGCCTGATATCACAGCTCCAGGAGTCGAAATTATAGCTGCATTTTCACCTTTGGCTTCATTGTCGTCCTTGGATGATACGGGCGGAAATGAGATGTCAGCAAATTTTTCGATTTTATCTGGTACATCCATGTCTTGTCCACATGTCGCAGGTGCATCAGTTTATTTAAAATCGCTTCATCCAGATTGGTCTCCTTCGGCGATTAAATCTGCTTTGATGACTACAGGTGATTACAATTTTCAGTAAAGTAAAATACAATTTTCTTCTCAGTCATTTTCACTTTTAAGAAAATAAATTAGTTTCACTAATACATGTTCTTCTTATGCTTGCAGCATGTCCTATGAGCCCATCAAAGAACCAAGACGCCGAATTTGCCTATGGATCAGGGCATCTTGATCCTGTAAAGGCAGCAAATCCTGGACTTGTTTATGAAACACTTGAAGATGAATATTTAACATTTTTCTGCAAGTTGGGTCTCAGCAAAGATCAAATTGCTCTGATCACGGGTAACAAGAGTTTCTCATGCCCAGAAAATAGTACTCGTAACCAGAGTTCGTTACCAAACGATGTAAACTATCCTTCCCTCTCTGCCATGGTTGATGTTGGTACACCATTCAATGTCAAATTTAGTAGAACAGTCACCAATGTCGGAGTTGCTAATTCTACCTACACCGTAAAAGTTGAATCGCCCAAGGAAGTTATGGTCACGGTGAAGCCAAGTACTCTTTCATTTACATCATTGAATGAGAAGAAGTCGTTCGATGTGACTGTTGTAGGCAAAGGATTATCAAAAGGCCCAAGCTCCATTATTTCAGCATCGTTGGTTTGGTCTGATGGACAACATAGTGTTAGAAGTCCTATTGTTATTTACTCTAATTCATTTGCACTGTAGTTGCTTGCTCTATAATTGTCGCTGTTTTGTGTTTATTCCAAACACAAATTAATTTAAGGTTCATACAAATCGAATTAAAATTGATAACTTCTGTGCTTGAAATTATTTTTTGCAATGCAGTGCAGTGATGCTACTAAATTCATTTATGACTTGATAGAGTATATAAACCAAACTTTGGTTTCAATATCATCCTAACCTTTTAGTTGAGTTGATCACCTAACATGGTATTAGATATATTAAGCTATGAGTATGGTGGAGCCTATGTTGCATCTGATATACCATGTACAACATGACATAATGTACGTATTTAAATTGACTAATTACATTTTTAATGGAGTAAAATAAAGGGTAGTTGGACTATTGCGTTTTCCTACAAACATTATCTTTCCTCCTACTCTGTATACTTTATACACATTATATGAAATTGAGTTCCACTCTTTATTAACTTATCAATTTATTAGATTTTGCTTAAATTATTTATACTACATATTACACACAAATAAGACAAAAAATTATTGTTAAAATCATGCATCACACGTGCCTAACGTAATTATTATTACTCTATCTATCTTTTAATTAAGAGTCCATATTCTATTTTAGGGATCCAAAATTAAGAGTCTATTTCTATTTTAAAGTTGTACTTTTAATAATATTTTTCTCTTTTTGAAGAGTTGGCATCCCTTTTTTATTTTTTATTTTATTTTATTTTATTTTTATATTATGACTTTTAACATTAATTTCCAACACTTTTCTCTCCCTCTCTTCAATAATTCCCAACCAGTCTGTATTTTTTTCCTCTCTATCTGACTATCTCTCTCTAACCCCAAATGCACTTATGTATTTCCACCAATTTTTCTATTTCCCATAAAAAAACCCAAATAGGCTCTTACTTAAGAGATGAAGGGAGTACTAACTACTTAGTTAAGCTTGGCCAGTTAGCTACTTTCGCATATAGACATGATCCTAATGAAGCCGCTCAAGTCAATTTGGTAACAAATAATCTAATTTAAACAAGTTAGGCAATAAATCATGTTTAAATTAATTAGCAACAAATAAAGTTATTTATATCTTTCAAAAAAAAAAAAAAGTTAATTATACGTCATCCATTTCTTTTTAGTTGATTCATTTTAATTTAGAATTATTTACACACTCGCTTTTGACCATGTATTGTGACTTAAAATTTGTCAATCAGTCACCAACTTAACAAAAAAATTGTAAAATTTGCAAAGAATTTAGAAGTAAAACAAAAAAATATATAGACCATTCAACACATTTTATTTATCCAATGACAACTAGGAACAGACTAATCAAAAATGATTTTTGTTTCCATGATATGTTAACATTTATTGCAAAATCATATTAAAAAATTTGATTTTTTTCCCCCTTTTTCTCTATCTATATAAAAAAAAGGATCAGTCATAGCATCAAAACTTAATAAATTTCACATATTAAAAATGGCCAAATTCATGTATTCACAACTTCAGTTGTTCACCCTTGTACTTGGCCTTTTTGCTGCGGTAACATTGTCTCTTATTAAGGCTAATGATGATAGAAAGGCAAGTTATTGCATAGTCGTCGTTGTTGTTATCGTTATTGTTATTGAGTTGAATGTTGATGATGAAAATGGATTTTATGCGATTTAATTTTATTGTGTAGGTTTGTATTGTATATATGGGTTCGATTTCTGAGGAGTATGGTGTTACATCTGAGTATCACATTGGTATTCTCCAGCAAGTTTTAGAGGGCAGGTGAGAAACTATAACTATGTAACATACATTTGATTTATAGTTAATCGTAAATAATTCGCGACTTATTCACAATTTGGGTTGAAGATTTAATTTTGATCAAAGTTCGGTATTTATGTTTATTTGTTTTAATACAAAAAGGGAGCACGGAGCATTAAATTAAAAAGTTTAAGTAATAGGGAACAATAATTTGAGTTCTCAAACTTTTTTAATAGGGAACAATAATTTGAGTTCTCAAACAGTAATAGGTATCATATATCGTAGACCTGGTAAATGGGTCACTTGGGACGGGTCACTTCGGGTTATTTATCAATCGGATTGGATACGGGTTGGGTCAATTTGGGTTTTGGGTATGGCTCGGGTTAGGTATTAGGCTGACTTTGGATTATTGGGTTAATTTCGAGTCGAGTATGTTGGGGTCATACCAATTTCGGATAGAGCATGTTCGGGTTGTTCCATTTGTGGATATTAAATCAATAATTATATATATTTTTTTTATTATTATAAATTTATAATAGGAATTATCAGTTTAATTTATAAGTTGGCTACGGTTGGAGATGCCAATTTTTTAGTCATATTACACAAAGACATTTTTAGTTCAATAATTAAGGTAATTTTAGTTGATGAGGATTTTTTGGGTATCAGATCTGTTCGGGTCAAACACTTCGAGTCAACTGTAGGTCTGGTCTATTTCAATCTTGTCATTTCGAGTATTAGGTCAACTTTGAGTTAGTTCATTTGGGGTTGTATTGAGTCAAGATTGGGTCAACTCCACTTTCAAGTCGGGTATGGGTGGGATCAGGTTGATTTCGGATTTTGGGTCGATTTTGGGTCACGGTTGGGTCATCGAGTCTGCGTAAGATTGCCAGGTCTACATATATACCTAATGTACTAAAGTAGTTTATTACTTACTCGTATACATGCACATGCGCTATACGTTCTAAGGAAACAATTGATTAAGCCCCGAACTAATGTGGATGGTCAAGTAAAGCCATGAGTGATCTCCACTTGACTTTTGTAAAATGGATTTTAACGATTTAAATTGAATTTATATTATTGAAATTCACTTTTATGGCTTCCTAATCAATTTTGTACTCCGTATGCTATATAAATCAAAGTATTGATTATACGCAGTAATTAATAAAACTATAATAAATCGGTTGATCAAAATTGATAAATACATTTTTTAAAAAAAATAAATCATTTTTGTGCAAGTTGAATAGAAAAAGGCCTTAGTTGTGATTAACTGATTGGATATACTTAAGTTTATCCACTATACTAGGCTGCTAGTTTATACAAGTATATACTAATGAAAAATAGTGTTGTTCTTTCTACTTGGAATTATACGTTCCAAAAAAAGTACGGCAGAAGAATCCTTGCTTAGAAGCTACAAGAGGAGTTTTAACGGTTTCGCAGCGAGGCTAACTGAGAATGAGAGTGAAAAACTCAAAGGTAAATGATTATGTCAGTTTTTCAGACCCAATAGATGGTCATTTTCAAGACCCATAGTGGTCAGTTTTGTTGTGGCCAAAAGGTCAGTTTTGTGATCCTTTGTGATCAGTTTTGGTGAGACCCATTGAGGCTCATTTCTTCAAAAAAAAATTCAGATCCTTTGTGATCACTTTCTTCTCCTTTTCAGCTTCCAAACACATTCTCTTCCAGATGCATTCTCCTCTTATTTTACATTTACATTGGAGCTATAGTTTATTGTTATATTGTTGGAGATTGGTTTGATTGTTGATGTTGGAGTTAAGGCGTACATTGGTGGTTTGGTTGTGTATGCATTGTCAAGCTTTGAATGGATTTCTTCCCTTCTAAGCTTGAGGGGGGGGGGAATATGGTATTGATGATCCCAAGGTTGATGGATTTGGTTTGGTAGTTGTAATATGAAAGTTGGGGGTGCTAGAAATGGAAGGAGGCACATTCTCCGTACTTGAAAATGGTATTCAAGTAGACAACAGTAAGTGTTCAAGACATTTCAGAAGAGTTATTGTGCAAGCTCAGTTGGTCCAGCTTACTTCTTTGAGCTCTTGGTTCTAATTGGAGTTTGGGTGTATGTAGTGTGATTGGTAGATGGTTATAATGGTGTTTTATTTTAGAGGATAGTTGGTGGTATATTGTCTAAGATGGGGCAGCAATGATTGATGGTGATATTTTGGCACAAGGATATGATGTGCATGGATTTCTCTGAAGGTTGGTTAAGTTTCTGCCAAGTTTGACAATGATTGGAGCATCTAAATTCTAAAGTGATGATACAACAATTTTAAGGCCTTCTCTGGTTGCTCTTCTTGAATAAGCTACAACATATACTACAATTACTTTTATAGGTGTGTTGTGTGCACATGGCTGCAATTTGTATAGAAATTGAAAAAAATACAGTATGATGCTGATCTAATGTTCAAACTGGAAATGTTACCCATTTCCAGTTTGAGGGGGAGTGTTGGAGTTTATGATGGTCAAACATATTTTGACTTAGTTTGTTAGTTGCTTCCTTCACTCAAATTAAGTCTGTTAATCATGTAATTAGTTTGGAGAGTATAAATAGGTTGTATATTGTATTAGTTCATGCTTAACACAACATAATAATAAAAACACATATTTTACTCTTTCTTCCTCATCTCTCTTTACTGACCAAAACGCAAGCTCTACTTTAATGGCTTCCCTCTCTCTCTTCGCTTTTCTTCCTCATTAGATTCACAAAATTAACACACATGTTCATCATATACATGTCTTTGTTGCGAGTAATAAGAACCGGAGATTGTATTATTTATGTTTTTTTTTTTTTTGGGTAGGTATGAAAGAAGTGGTGTCTGTGTTTCTTAGCAGAACACTCGAACTTAAAACAACGAGGTCCTGGAATTTCATGGGTTTAAGTGAGAATGTTGTGGTTCCGAGAAACTTGACTAGTGAGAGTGACTTGATACTCGGTTCCATTGATACCGGAATTTGGCCCGAATCACCTAGTTTTAGAGATGATGGTTTCGGACCTCCCCCTAACAAATGGAAAGGTGCTTGTAAGGGCGGAATTAATTTCACTTGCAACAAGTAAGTATTTTTGGCTCGAATCATCGTTGTATAGCATTGTTTATGAGGGTGCACTTCACTTGATTAGTCATGTAAAATATATCACCACATTTTTTTTTTTTTTTTTTTTTTACAATAATGTAAATCGAAACATTATGACCTCAATTCCATCTTGTAGTAAATTGATTGGAGCTAGTAGTGTTTCCTTCGACTCAGCGAGGGATGAAAATGGTCATGGAAGCCACACAGCGTCAACAGCAGCCGGGAGACACGTAGATCATGCCAGTTTTTATGGTTTGGCAGAAGGAATTGCTAGAGGAGCAGTACCCTCTGCTAGGATCGCTGCATACAGAGTGTGTGGAAACAATAGGTGTCAGGATTCAGATATTCTTGGTGGTTTCGACGAAGCAATTGCTGATGGGGTAGACTTGATTACAATTTCCATAGGATCACATCTGATGTAGTTGAGTTTCATTCAGATAGTATCGCGATAGGCTCTTTCTACGCGATGCAGAAAGGTATACTCACCGTCCAAGCTGCTGGAAATGATGGAAACCAGAGTAGTACTGTATCAAGTGTTGCACCCTGGTTATTCAGTGTTGCAGCTAGCTACACTGATCGTCGAATACGTGATAAAGTTGTCCTTGGAAATGGAAAAACACAAGTTGTAAGTACATCATAGTGGATAATCTTTTATGTTTTCATCATGATATATATTATGTTTGATACTTGATCACGTGTGTTTTTTACATGTTTGTCTGAAAATGCAGGGTTATTCTATCAACCTTTGGGGCAGAATGTAGGAAAACAGGGAGGAGCGCCCGCTCCTTGAAGGCTGCACGCCCGCTCCTATATGTGCAGGGGGGCAGAATGTGGCAGTTCAGGTAGGAGCGCCCGCTCCTTCTTAGGTGCACGCCCGCTCCTGCTTTCCTTTGCTTCCAAAGAGTATTTCTTCATGCTTATGCTATTTAGCCCATTTTTCATTGTACCTACAAGCACGAGCACACACATAAAAAGAAACGGGGAAGCCAAAAGATGCAAATTAGCACAAGAGGAGTTAGAAAAAGGGGTTAAAGTAGGGGAAATATTACAAAATTGTGTTTAGATAGCCATGATAAGTGGACAAATAAAACACTTATCACTAACCCGACTCGAAATCAACACGACTTGTTATTGACCTGACCTAAATTCAACCCAAATTGTTCCTGACCTGATTTCAAATCACCTAAAATGCAATTTAGATCACCTTATTATTATTGATCAAAGCATTTTGTCTAGGGAGACCAAGTCGGTCCAGGCCAACAAAAGAAAGGAGCATCATCCTCAAATTTAAGAGTTAAATATAGTATATATTTGTTGTGTGGTCAAAGGAGACAATTATCTTCCTAAATTATAGACTATATTTCCCTAGTATATTGCCATATATATTATAGTCAAAGATAAAAATTAGCTTGATAAAAATGATAATTATCTATTTATAGTTAGTTGAATTCGAATATAACCTGACTTGGAAATGACCCAACCTGATTGTAACCTGCAAATTATTGACTTGAACATAACCCTACTTGAATCCTAAAATGACGTGACTTGTAAATGACCCAACCTGATTATAACCCGCAAGTTATTTATTTGAATCGAACCCGACTTGAACCCGTGAATGACGCAGGATTTGTAAGCAAATTCGGTCACAAATTGGGTTTTGAATGGTTAGCTACTATATAAAAGAACGCTAGGGGAAACGGGATTCAACACCAACCAAAGCCAAGGAATCAATAACAAGGATAAATCATGAGCACACATAGAAGATAGAAAAGGAACTTAACATTGCCTTCTTTCAAAGTCACAACATAAGTACTCCCTAGATTAAGCATTAACACGATAAGGATTAAGTCTCAAGGATAGGAAGTGGGTTTCTAGCTCGAGTTTGTCTCTCGATCGCTCCGAACTAGCATGAAGCTCAAATAATTAGGATTTCTCACCTAATTACCATACTAAAGCAACCTAGTCAATGAAACCAAACATCCAAAATCATGAAAGTAGCATAATCTAATTACACAAGAAAAGACTCACTCCAAAACCCCATCTTTCGATGTGAGAAGAGGGATGAACACATGGGCATATTGTGGCCAACAAAATACACATGCAATTATCAATTCAAGCACAAACAACTATCAATCCAAGGTAGCACATGAATAATTCCAAGTCAATTAGCCATAGCTTGGTTGGGTCTTCACCCAACCCCTAACTAAGAGACTACTCACTAAACATGGTGTAAATTACTCTAACAATTAAATCTAGGGTTTTCATGAATTCAAATAAGCTAGGAAAGAGATGAAACAAGGATGGATTAAACATGCAAGAATAAATAAACAAGATTAAGGAAGAAATTATCAAATCAAAACAAGATTAAGGTTAATTTGCGGATTACATTCGGGTCGGGTCGGGGCATCTCCAGGGCTGTTGATGTTCGGGTTCGGATCTCACATACTCGGGTCAACTCGGGTGTAGGGTTGGTCAGGTCGAGTCAGGTCGGGTTTGGGTCACCATTTTTTCGAGTTCAGATGGTTCGGTTAATAATCGGGTTTGAGTCGATATTTCGCATCGAATCAACTTTTGACAACTCTACCCCTCATCGACTGAGTAATACCGACTATATTGTATGGCCAACCACATGAAAATTTGTGCTTAATTTTTGTTACTTAAACATAACTAATTGATGGTATGACCATTGAATATCTTTCTGAAGAATTTGTACAGCAAGAGTGATTCGAGATTAAATTTAATATTTAGAGTGAAAGAACCAACAAATCAACAATAAACCTTTTTACAAAGGCAGAGCAGCAAAAGTAAGTGAGTGAGTGCGCGAAGAGAGAGAAAATGGCACTAGCAAGCAGAGTAGCGAGGGAGAAGGTAGCAACAGCCCTTCAATGGCGGCTTCCTTCAAATCTTCTTCAAACCTTCAATTTCAGCACCGAATCATCTTCTGCAACTGCAACTGCTACTACCACTACAAGTGAAGCATCGAAGAACACCAAAAGAAGGAAGAATAAGAATCTCTTCGAAGTTGCGCAGTTCTTGCCCAACTGGGGTCTTGGCTATCACATGGCCAAAACCCATTGGACCAATGTTTCGTATGAAATCACCAAGATTAATCTTTACAAGGTTCAATTTCTTTTTCAAGTGTTGTTTTCATTGCGGCAATTCGTCGAATACCTTGCGATCAATTCTCATTTTTTGTTGCTTTTGTATTGATGTTTTGTTGATTCGATTATCGGGGTTTCTGGGTTTTGATTTTGCAGGATGGTAGGCACGGGAAGGCTTGGGGGCTTGCTTATAAAGATGGTTAGTCTCAAATATTTGCCCAAATTGATTGATTATAAGTTGATTACATTCATTGTATTTGAGTGCTTCAAATTTTAGGTTTTAGTTGCAATTGGTGTTACCTGCTATAGTCAAGTGGAGAACTTTGAGTGACCTATTGTTGCATTTAAAATTCTGAGATTGTATAATGTATCACGAATTTGATATTAAACCTGAGGTTGGAGGATTTGACTAGGTTTTAACTAGGGTTTATGTTCTATACCTAAGTTACTATGCTTTTGTTTTGTGTTCTCTGATTTTTATAAACTGTATCAGAGATTGGATCGGGAAACTATTATTAACAATCAGGGATAGTTGTGCGTTTATTTACATTTCTAAACCTTGCCCTTCATATCCATTTGGTTGTTCTTGATTAGTAATCGATAAGCTATTGGGGATTACAAGAATCTATCATTTCACGTTAGCATATGGATTTCTGAACTATGAAGTTTTATGGGCTTTCTTAGTCTGGCTTGGTTTCAATTGATTCTGAACTGGTGGCAATGCTTAGAGAAGCCTTCTATTATTGAGATATTCTTCCTGGAATGTACACCAGTATATAGGAGGTTATGACACCCTCTTAGTGGGCGGTGCAATATCAAACAGGGTTACACAGTGAAGCTTAATGATCTTTTCAGTTAATCTTTTGAGCTCATATCAAACAGGGTTACACAGTGAAGCTTAATGATCTTTTCAGTTAATCTTTTGAGCTTCATCCCCTTAAATTCAAGCCTTCAATTGTATCTTAAGAATTCAATTAGAAGTTGCTTTCTAGTGGTGAGGCATAGTTGACTAGGTGCTTGGTGGAAGCCTGATTTTAAGTACATCTTACTCTCATCAAAAGCTTTTGAATCCTATCAAAGTAAGGGTGTGTAGGGCTAAATGCTTATAATTTCTTCATAAATGGAACTGATAAGTTTCAATCAAAACTAAAATATTATGTTTTTAACAAATTATTGAATAAGAATTTTGATATTGAGCTGGGAACTGTATCTAAATTCCTTAGTGTATCCGTCAGTCAAGCTTAGCTTATTAGCTTATTTCTGTGGAATCGTCTATCTCCATGTACTTTTATAGTTGTACTCTTTTAGTCAAGGATCATGCAACACTTGTATGTCATTGCCAATAGATCTTGATATAGAGTGGAGCACTTCTGTGATTTCTTAAACTCTTATGAAGGTTGCGTTTTATGCTAGTGGTACGAGGTGAAAATTGTCGCTTCTTATTTTCGGTAAGGCATTTGGGCTTTCATGGGAAGTGGGAATTATATTTGTCATTTCCACAAGGGAAATACATAATAATTGCACAAGTGTGTAAGTGTCTTACACTCTTGCATGGAGGAATAGATGCTTATCATTTCGTTTATAAATGGAACCATGGTGTTTATGACCCTGTTTTACCTGTAACAAGCAAGAGTTTGTGGTAAAAACTGAAACAAGCAATATTGTATTGTAAAGTCTGAGTTTCCTCATTTTTTTCCTTTTGTTCCCTGAGATTTATTTTAGTTACCATTTAGCTGGATGGTTTTGATCTATAGGCTTTGAGCTTAAGTTTGGGGTTTCTGTTATCATATGAAAAGTTTCCCCATTAGCATAACATAATATCATGAACAAAAGATCTTAAACTTGATTTCTTGATAATGCAGGTGTTGATATTGACTCTCAATACTAAGCTTACAGATTTTCTGTTATCTGACAAAAAGCTTTCCATTAGCATAACACCAAAAGCATGTAGTAGTTTTTGATTGAAGTTTAGAAATAGTAGCTTAGAAGATATGTGATGGCATTCTTAGCATCTAAAATCTCCCCCTCCCCCCCCCCCCCCCTCTTTTTTTTTCCCCACTTAAGTTTCATGATCAATGTTCCAACACTGCAGTGACACTTCAAATTTTTAGAGTAGTAAAGAACCTTATGTGATTGGGGTGTTCCTTGAATGAATCGTGTGTGACTGTTTGGGCTGTGTGCATACCAGGTTTCTCCTTGTAAATTGATTAAGGACTTTGTGAGTTGGTTTGATTTGTGGTTATTGTGGTTGTTTTTTGCAGGCATTCCAGCTCCTGCTCCAAAGAAAATTAGTGGAGTTCACAAGCGCTGTTGGAAATATATTTCCAATCCTCTTAAAGTAGAGGCCGAGCCAAAGCCTGAAGCTGAGGCAGCTTAACTGAGGCTACATGCATCACTTACATAATTGCCTATCATTTGTGGTTGTTTGTCTCACTTCAGTAGGCCCTTGTATGGCTGTCATTTGTTTGTGAGCTGTGACTGAAGAATTTTATATGATGCTTGCTTCATCACTATCATAGACAGAATTTATGTAGGAATCACATAGAGGTCTTGACGCAAGATGATGTCAAGCATTTTGCCAAGTTCTGTTTTGTGGCATAGATGCCAATATTTTCTTTTCCAGTTAGAAATACCTAAAATAATTATTCATTTCCTTTTATCTGGTTGGCTATTCTTTGTGTCAGCATATTTATCTTCACTAGAAAAGGAGAAGCTCAATGTATAACTAGCAATGAGCCTCTGTGAGACTCTACCATTGACACAACTTTTCAAATTGAAGCCATTTTTGAAATTTACTAAATTTAACTATATGGATATGGAATGAAGTTATTACTGGCCCTTGTGACGAGCTTCAACCAATTGTGGCCAAATTAATAAAGGGAGGATACAGTTGGCTTGTGTGCACTGCAGCTAGATAGCGTCATAACTCTACATCAACAGAATAACAGCAGCCTACGGAAGCTGGACCTCCTTGTATATTGTTCCCCTAAAAGTGCTTCTGTTTGTAATGCAAATTTATAGAAACCTTGGTCCTGTTCCTAGCAAGACAGTGCGCTATCATTCAAGAATAACTATTAGGAGAATTATCAAATTCTTTGGAAAATTACATTACATTTTTCATGTATAAAAAAGCATACAAGAATCTCAATGCCCATTCACTCGGAGAGAACAATGAAAGAGCTCATTTTAACATGATAATGGTCTCTGACACTACTACTACTTGTTTAGCTACTTTTTGAGTCAAAAATTGCGCTACAAGGAAGGAAAAAGAAACATGATTATTTGCAAGTATCTCATGGACTATCCTCCATTGAATCAGAAGCTTTGCTGTTCTTGAACTTGTCAACAGCATCATCAAAGGTCTTTCTCACATGCTCACACATGTTAATCAAATTCTGACAGCCGTCTTTCAACACCTCACCAGCTGGATCACCTGAAAAGTAAATAGAGAGGTGATTAGTTACAAGATAGGTCATGAAGGCAGACAGTAGCAGCAAACAGCACACGCGAAAGGTACTTAACTAATTTGCCTCCAAAGATGGAGCATAAGATAAAAGCAATCTATCTTCAACATCATTCATGAAAATCGAGAGGCTAATAACAGATTTGTACGTTGTCTTATAAGTAAAATGTAAATTATAACCAATAAAGCAAAGGAATCTTGCAGTAATAGAAAAGTTACAAACTTTGACTACAATCCATAGTCAATACCAAGGATAGCCAAAAATAAGGGTTTTGCTTGGTATGGGAGAGTTGAATGTATTGACTTTAAGCTACAAAATTCGAATAAAGGTGGAGGGACAGAACTAAGATTATGACAAGTCCTGAACAAAGCTTTAACTTGCTAACAGCTTGCAAGGGCCTTATGAGGGTTTTTTCTATGATGAGCTACATGTGATGACCATGAGCTACACGTTATATATTGAAGTGAAAGCATATGGATCTCTAAAACCATCTGATAGGCTTTTGCTAGTGAGGTTAGCTGATGGAATGGGGATCATCGAAACTTTAAGGTTGTGAGTGAAGGCTTTAATGGACAACTGAATAAATACACATGGTTTAATAGGTTAAGATTGGGTAGTGTAATAACCAATTAGCCATCTCCAACCAACTGCTATTTAAATGTATGAACTACCCACATCTTAGGATGTTCCGCTACGTCACTAATAAGTATCACTTTATCAGTCATTGGCATGGCACCCTGGGTTTCAAACTTCAACTGTCCCCAATGATAGTGTCATGAAATTTTCCAAAATCACACCCCTTCCTATGAACCGATCTTACGAAAATAATATTCCTCATATTACCAATCTACCATGAATAATAACATTCAGGTTAAATTATTGGAGAATATGAATCACGATTCCATCCAAACTGAGCTTTAGGTTCCTGACAAAATAACTAATCAACTACACTACCCCCTTGAATGCACACACTACACTAAGGATTAGGTGTACTCTTATATATAGAAAGGCAGCAAGTCTTCGCATATTAAATAAAAATCCCAGGATTGAGGAACTTTGACTGTTTTCAACCAAATAACAATTCATCATTTGCTGTCAGAGCAAACAAACAATGTATACAGTCTACATCATTAAAACTAATAGCAAAAGTCAATACATCAAACAATCTAGATCTTCAGAACATTTAAAATAATCAAGAAAAGCATTTCAGGTCTTAATGGAGAAGGCAATTGTATACAGTCTACATCATTAAAACTAATAGCAAAAGTCAACACATCAAACAATCTAGATCTTCAGAAAATTTTAAATAATCAAGAAAAGCATTTCAGGTCTTAATGGAGAAGGCAATTGTGTAAAAAGTCTACACTAAAAAAAAGTATTGAAGTAACCAGGGTGGATGCACTGCCGATATTTCAAGCTAAAAGTGAATTAGCCCTTTGTAACACCCAATGGAAACAAAACTAAGGTTAAAAATAGGAATTCACATTTTGCATGTTATTTCTACAAGTCAATAACAAACATCAAAGAGCAACGCTAAATAACCACAGCATAATGATCACTTCAACTAACACACTCATTTTTTGTTCTTTGTATTCAGGTACAAAAGAAAAAGCAGTGTTAGGATTAGAATTGTAAATAGTTTTTAACAAGCAAACTAAAAAAAATCGTTCAGCAAGTACCTGTTGTTTGCACTCTAACATTTACCCGGGCTTCAGATGGATGAGGAATGCTGTACCCACAAAACGATACTCGTGGACTGCAAAATTACAGCACAACATAATGAATAATAACATGCTGATAATAGCAGACTAAAAAACATTAAAATTGCAGGGCATTTAGCATTGCAAACTTTAGGCTCCTAACACGAAATCACTATAACAGTTCTAAGTATCCAATGGAAAGAAACAAACTGCAATGGTTAACACTTAACATCGCGAGTAACTAAATCTCCACCACTGCCCATGTCACAGTCCAGCCGAATCCATAAGCTAGACACACACTAAAGTAATAAAAGTGAACAACTCCTCAACTCCTCCTCAATAAGCTTGATACTGTTCACAAACCAAAATAGTACCCAACATAGTTTCCAAAAATGAGAAGCTAAAACAACAGCATACACCAATCCCAGAAAACAAATGTTGCAACATTGAAAGTACAGTTATTCAGTCAATTACTTATAGCTGGGAGAAATTTCCCTCCAATAACGGCCTAACCCAACTCGAATTCAGATTAATCGGAGTCTAATAAATTACTCGTAAAAACAAGAACAACAACAAACAGCAAAGGTTTCTAGTGCAAATACAAAGAAATAATTCACAAAGTAATCAATAATAAGAAGAAGAAGAGGAAAAAAAAAGACTAACTCTTTGTTAAGGACTAGTCTGAGGGAATTAGCAAGGGTGTGATCTTCCTCAGTTATTGAGAATGTTGATGCACTTGGATTTTGATATGAACCATGCTCCATTTTTTTTCTGCAAAATTCACTACATAATTTCTCTGTTAATTAACCAATTCATTAATTACCCAAAAACAAAGGCAAAAACTTTAATCATAAATATGAGCAAAGAATTTGAAGAACCCTTACAATTTGAATTAGCTTACCTTTAATTTTTTTTTTGCTGAAATTAGCTGATTTTCCTTGAGCGAGGCTGAAGAATTTGTGTGATACAATATTCAATTAGGGCTCATAAAATAACATTGTAAGTGGGAATAGAGTGTTGTGTGGAGGGCTTTTTTGTAATTTCAATAACAACCCAATAAAAATAAAAGGAAAATATTGTTATGAAAATATTGTGTGGATATCCATTATCCTCTTTGTAAGTTTCCGGATTATTCTAGATCTAGGGTTTATTGTTATCTAAGCAAACCCTAATTATTATATTCTGTGTATATATACCCCTAATATATGGAATAATATAGACAGATCAATTCTCTCTCAATCTCTCATCTTTCCCCCTTATTTCACAACACGTTATTAGCACCAAAGCTCTAAATGATTAATAATTCTTTTGATTCATATACATATACATAATTGCTTTTCGATTTGATTGACAGTTCATCGTATGCAAGAAAGTTATTTGGGTTTAGCAATATATTGTACTTCCTTCTTGATCTTTGTCTCGTCGATTGGGTGTCGTCTCAAGCAAAAATATATGATAAAACAAAATCAACCCTACCCGACTAAGGAGACGAGTTTAATAGCAACTTTACGGGTATCCCTATATTCTTTTCTCCATATTTTATTGAATTTGTCAGATTATTGTCTTTCTTAAAATAAACTAATTAATTATAGGGTATTAGACTAGTCATGTTATTGATTAATTTATATGCTCTGTTTTTGATGAATGAAATATGAAGCTCGTTAGATATGGGATATTGCTATTGATTTGTTTCAGCTAAGTTGTCGTATTTGAATATGTTTAATATTGTTTTGTTTCGGCTAATTTGTCTTATTTGAATATCTATAATTTTGGAGAATGATATTAGCTGATGGTTTCATCATCAATCTCCGTCAAATTATGTGATGATTACATGTTGCTTTCAATTGTATTTGGTTTACCACCATCATAGAGTGTTCAAGTGTATTAGTTATGAACTGTTTTAATAGTTGTAGATTATATTTTTTTGGATTTAGATAAGTTCCAATAAAATACATAAGATGTTAATTAAACCCTTCTTAAAGTTTGAACATTAGATATATGTTATAGGATTTAATGAAGACTCGAATACTTTTATACTATCATAAACCTGAGAGTTTTTCCTTCATCACTTCTTTAGTTCCCTTTGAAGTCGAGTGAGTATCAAGAAAGTGTGATTTTGAGAAAATAATGATTGTTAATCCATGTGATAAACTATGTTACAAAGTATTAGAATTGCATTTGGTTGAATGAATTATTCCATTGGTTTAGGTTGACTACAAGAATAATCTTAGTTTTACCTTATATAAGTTTTGTTGCTTCTAATTGTTTACTTTGTATTTGGTTTTGTATAAAGTATAGCAAACAAATTATGCTATTATTATTGTTTTTATTTCGTGATTATGCCTACTCATTGGCTCATTGCTATCAAACTTAATTAGCTTTATCACATGATTTTGTTATGTTTATGTGATATGTTTATTATTAATAATCTAAGATTATCTATTATTCATCATCATGATAATCTACTATAAATATATTTATCTAAACTAGATCCTAAGTCTTTATTTATAATATTTTTCTCATGGTATATGTTTATATCTTATACTACGTATTGTAGGTGACATGTGTTTTTACATAGGTTTAAATGTTTAATGCTAAAGAAATTTAAATTAATTTTGATTTATTATGGAGTATTGTTACGATATAATTTCCTAATTATATCTCAAAATTAGAGGATATACTTCATCATATTAGGAGATATTGATAAATATTGTGTACGTAATCCCAAGTGATAATTAGATGAAATATATGTAAACTAGGAGTAGATTGATTATGCACACGTAATCCTTGGCTTGAATCAAGGACACGGTTATGGAGTATTGTTATCACTTGTATATTTAAACAGTGAAGTGGAATAAAAGAAAAAAGGCAGAGAAAATATTGTGGAAAATTTCTTAACTGGTATACATAATATTTAGTTATATAATATGCCTAAGCTAACTGCTCAAGAAGTCTTAATTTGATCAAATTATGTGATTATGATGAGTATGGATTAAACATCATGGATTATTTTTATAGTAATGTATTGAGGTCTTTAACGATGATTGTAATATTTATTAAGCCCATAAATATAAGAGGTTTCGTTTTTTTTAAGATGAATGTTATTGGGCATGAGAAACATGATAAGTGTTCTATAAGTATAATTTTATATAAGCATGTTTTTGCTAAAAGGAACACGTTACTTGATACATGACATTGCCAAAGGATTTTAAAGGTTGTTGGATTGATTCATTCCATACCCCCATATGCAAGGATCAGGGGGAGATTGTAAGTAATTCTTGCATATAAATAATAAAATATATTGATGGTCAGTTTGGAATATACTTATACTCAAATATTAACTATTTACTTAATAGAAGTGGCCACATGCATATTATTTAAATATTTTTAAATGATACCATCTTGAAGATGGATACAAAAGATTGATCATATACTAATTATAAATGCTCCAATTAAATTATTGTCCCAGAAGGACAATATCGGTTACTAATGAACCTAAAACACGTCTGAAGCGTTGCAGTCTAATAGAGTTAAAATATAAGAACTTTTGGAAAAGAAATGGAGCATCTATTGGACAAATTTGAGGAAATGATAAATCTCATTACATTTTTAGAATAAAATCACTTTTAGTAAAATTCATATGTTCCATGATTATGTAAAAGACTCAAGAATAGTATGAAATGTCCAACAAGATTAACATGTATCAAGATTATAGTCAAAACTCCAGCAGAGTATATATAAGTAATTATTAGATAAAATATTAATTAGTCAATTGTCTTGCCAATTGTATAAAGAAACACATGTTGGTGTTCTAACATCACATCACATTCATGGCCATGCACATAGTAAGTTTAATAAAGTGATCACTACTGTTGAAAACTGACCAGAGTTCAAATTTAGAGAAGTGATTGGATGTGATAATTAAATTAGGCCATCCGGGTTTAATAATAATTACCCGTCATGGAAACCTGAAGTTTCATTTGATAATGTGCTGACGTTTTCTCAATGTTAAATATATAAAATGAATTGAATGGCAAGACATAACATTGAGATTGAGTTATATTTGGATTGTGAGTTATAATAATTTGTATTGATGGAAATTTCAAGATTTAATATGTTTTGATTTTTTATATAAAGGACTATTGGCTGACCAGAAGTTCACCAAAATAACTTATATATTATTGTTGACTATCAAGTGATCAGAAGCTCACCAAATACACTATTTAAGTCTTAAAGATCCAGAAGATCATCACCTACTAGAATTATGAGCAAGTGATTTATGCTTGTATAACAATTCTTTTGATTAGGGCTATTATATGTTAGCACATATGAAATAGGAGAAGAAATAAAAACGTACAACTGCACAACCCATGTCTCCCCATTGACATTGTTTTCAGAAGATATTATGAAAAGGGTAATATATAATAAATACACATGCAATGTAAAATTAATGAAGAAATGGTTCTTCATTGAAGTTGTTCTCCAGAAGAGATGAAACTTGTTTAATACAAATCTTCTGTGAAATTAATATTGATTGTGATCCTCCTAATGAAGTGAATTTTATTAATGCAAATTTGTCTACTAAGTTGGTATATAATAAAACGCCCCTATAAATGAGATATTTTACCAACTTAGGGAAAGAAGAAGAATTAGCAAAAGTTGGAAAAATTAATCAAAAAAAAAATATGATCCCTATAATAGTAGTTTGAAAATTTATATGCCAACTTTTGTATATATATTATCAAGATATGTTGCACATTTATGATTTGATTTGTATTCAGTTATGACTCATGTTGCATAGCGTTGAAGATACATTTGGGTCATATTAATTATATGTATACATTGAGATAGAATCTTGCCAATTATACTTGAATCACTACACCTAAAGTGTAGATTGTATGATCGGTTCTAATTAAAAAATATATATATATATATATATATATATATAATGATATGATATTTGGCAAGATAGTGCAGTTGACACTAATAGTGTAATAGTATATAAATACCTTAGTGTATGAAATACCCTAAAAGTGGTATAGATATCTGAATTATTATAATAGATGGCCTATGATGTAAGAAAGTTATGATGGTACCAATGAGAAATGTATTCAGATATCATAGTAAAATAGCATGTGAAATGTAAGTTAAAGGAATTTTATGATACCGGTACACAATGGAACCGATGAATAATATGCATATGCATAATGGAATGGACTAGTGAATAAGAGATCTGAAATATATGTACATTTTGATGTCGACATAATGAAATGATCATAAGTTTATCATGGACCCGAAGTCCAATGAAATATGGATTTTTAAATCCACAATGTACAGTGTTTTGCATCATTTTGAGTCTTATATTCATGTACATGTAAGTCATAAGTTAATGGTTTATTGCATATGTATGAAGTTGTTAGATGTATTACTCACTGTATATTTTGTTTAATATGTTAATATGTTATCATGTGTTCTATATCTCATATTGTATGCATTAGTTTCTTACCATGACTGTCGTTTATGTGAATGTTCATTCAAAGTATAGTAAGACATATTTACAACTTTGATGAAAATTAGAAAGATATATTTATATTCCAATGGGCTTATAATTATTGATGACACTGATTTAATTGCATGTTATGAATCATGTAAGATGAGTTCCTGAGAACTTATATACGACATATTTAAATATCCAGCCCTACAAAGTTTATATTCTTGAATATTGCAATTACTAACAAACTCTTGAAAATTCAATGTAACTACATCATCGACATCTCAACTTGAAGTTGAGCATATGAGAGTTAATGAGATTTACTACTTGTATTTGTAAGAGAGCTATCGTGTCAATTATGAAACATCTAAAGAGTATAATGGAATACTTATGCGTGAGAAAGTTTTCTTATGGTCCAGAAGAACCATGATTAACGTATATAATTACATGTGTTATATTATAATTCATATGAGATTGAAAAATGACATTAATAATATCAAGTTTTTCATCAAATTATTATTAATGAATGTTTGATCAAATAATGATCATCAATAACGACTTCCAGAAGAAGTCATAACCGCATAAGTTTAACCTTTAAATCAACTGTTAAACAAAGATTTGAAATATTGATATTAGAGATAAACACATGTATGGTGAAATGAAGACACTTCACATGTTAACGTGAAGACTTGAAGATGCAATTTCAGTTTAGGAGGATCGAAGATCATATTAATGAGTGATATTTTACTGCATATGAGAAGATATACAACATATTGGATTCATTGTTGCGGCACTATAAGATCTCAAGTTATGTATTCATCAGGGGGAGAAAATACGCGCTGCACTCTTTTTCCCTTGACCATGGTTTTGTCCCACATTGGGTTTTCCTGGTAAGGTTTTTAATGAGGCAACATCTCGAGCGTATTACGAAGAATGTTGTACTCTTTTTCCTTAATTAGGTTTTTATCCCATTGGGTTTTTCCTATTAAGGTTTTAACGAGGCACAGTATTCGATAATGGACATCCAAGGGGGAGTGTTATGAAAATATTGTGTGGATATCCATTATCCTCTTTGTAAGTTTCCGGATTATTCTAGATCTAGGGTTTATTGTTATCTAAGCAAACCCTAATTATTATATTCTGTGTATATATACCCCTAATATATGGAATAATATAGACAGATCAATTCTCTCTCAATCTCTCATCTTTCCCCCTTATTTCACAACAAATACTACTTAATGATTAAAAACCCTAAACCCCTGAATCAGAATCACTTCTTCCCTCATTTTCTTGCTTTCTCTCTCTTACACTCACAAATTCTTCTCGAAAACTTTTTGAGGCTCACATTTTAATTCAGGGTAATGAATTACTTTTCTTTTTATTTAATTGCATTATTATCTGTTTAAATTTTAGAAAAATTTAGTTTAATTGGGTCAAATTTCATGGAAAGATTGGGGTTTCGATTTGATTTGTGAAATTTTGGGGTTTTTTAATTTCATTTTGCTGAAATTTATGGTCTGATTTTGCTATAATTTACTAATCCTTTGTAATTTGATTAACTTTTTTCAGGTTAAAAATGGCCAATAACAACATACCCCCTCAGCTAGCAAAAGAACAGGTACCTTGATTTCCTGCATAAATTTATATTGATGATTATCAAAATTGTGATTTGTAATTTAGAAATGGTGTATTAATGTTAAGATGCATGTTTATTTAATTATAATTTCATGCATTATATTGATGTCGCGATTTTAGTCTGAGATTGGATCAATGAACAATATTGGATTTAAAATTCTTTTGTGGGAATTATTGGGTGGATAAGATACATAATCATAGATATCTTGCTTAGTGTAGAAACTCCGTTATTGCTAGTGCTTAAGAAGTGTTGTTAGTTGCATTAGTGCCAACTGCCAAGGTTTAATAGTAGTATGGAAATATATTTTTTTGTTATTGGATTGTGGCTATCCTTTTTAGTTTTAATTAATCACCGAGGTTGATATTGTATGTTTGCAATTGCGTGACAATGTTTAGTCTATCTTGCTCAGAATTGGCGATGCGTATTCATACTGATTTCCTATGCTCAACTTTTGTGTCGTATTCAATCTTATATCGCCATGGATTTTGTTTCCTTATTAAATTGTTATTGTGCAGGTCATGTTTATGGCTGAGAAGGAAATGGAGTACAGGGTCGAGCTATTTAACAAGTTGGTAATTTTAACTTTGCAATGCTGGACATTGTTGTTACTTGTTAGATAATGTGATTTTAGAGTTTGTTTGTGTGTGTATGCTGTCATAGTTTTGTGCATTATTGCCATTAAGGGTTTAGGGAGCCCAGCAGGTAGTCTTTCATGTTCTTTGGTTTTAGGTCTTTGCAAATTTGAACTCTGGATATTCTACATGACGTTAAGACTTTGTAATTTGTCTGACTTGTTATGTTCTTATTATCTGCTTCAGGCTTACACAGACATGCTTTCGCAAATGCACTGATAAAAGGTACTTATTACTGAAGCACCCATTCCATTTACTTACGTTAGCTCTTGTATGTATAAAACCAGAGAGCTTATGTTGATGCTCTCCTTTCCGCTTTCAGCTACAAGGAGTCTGAACTGAACATGGCTGAAAACAGTTGCATTGATCGCTGTGTCTCAAAATATTGGCAGGTAATATCTCTGTGTTTCAAAATAATGTGCAATTTATTTTCTTGATCTCTTGCCAATTTATAGTTCATCATCATCAAAGTACTATTCATAGTTCCTCAATTGTATTCTAAGAGATCTTAGATTTCATGTATTAGTTTGATATAATCCTCTGTATCCTCTAAATAAGGAAGATATACATTTTTGTCATCCCTTTGAGCTGTGTAGTCTTTTTTGATTCTGTCACTTCTGTGTGCTTTTTAACTCTATTTTTCCAAAATGACCTTTGTTGGAGCTTTCCGTACTTCAGGATGCTAAAAAAGTTACATTAGTAACTTCACTTGGTGGGTTGGAGCTCAGTATAGTTATTTTCTGCTCTTAAAAGACAAAAATTTAGCGTCGATGATGACTATGAATATGAATAAATGAATAACGCTTCTAGTCTTTAAGTCCGTAATATTTTAGCCTTGCCCTTTATACAGATACTTACCACTTATGTTTGCCACTGAAAGGGCATACTTAAAACAAAGTAGCTTATCCATCTGACATGATTGGTAGCAGTACTTCTGGCTTTTCATCACATAATTCACAGAATTTTCTGTATTTTTGTTTGGGGGTTCAGGGGGGTGGGGATGCCAGGATGGTTTGAGGCACTCGTTTTGCAGGTTGCATGCCATGAGGGCCCTATTGGAGTGCTGCAATTATTTGTCTATTAATTAAAACCATTTTGTATGTTATCAGGTGACTAATCTAGTGGGCCAGTTGCTCGGAACAAACCAGCCTCCCATGTAAATGGTGTTCACTCTATTTAAGTAATCACTACTTGCTTGGACAAAGCCGCGGAAAACAAATTGATGCTGTTGCTATGCTGTGGAATCAATGATACCGTTGCCTAAAAATTTTGTTTCTTTTGAACTGAATCATACTTGTTTAATTTGCCTAGTGATGGCAATACTCCTAATGATTTCGATACTAGATATTGGTGGAAGGCCACATTTGATCATATGTTTTGTGTAAGGCTCTAAGTATCATTCCTTGAATTGGAGTTTTCTTTTACTGAATCCCAGTTCCAGGGGTTTGTTTTTGTTATCAAGCAATAATCACAGACGCACAGTAGTGAATTTCAAGATGCTTAAGTTTGACTTTACTTTAAATTTTCCGGTTCATTGATCATAGTCATACTCTCTCTACTACTAGTGAGGGAAAAAGCAAAGATCTGATTCAAAAAAGGAGGCTGAATTAAAAAAACTTCAAGCCATACGATATTGTTGTCCATAATTATTTTGATTAACTTCAAACCTTTTGAAATCGTTGCCCTGAATTATTTTTATCAACTTCAAACTTTTTTATTTCGTTGTCCGGTTGTCCATAATTATATTTAGGGAGGTCATTAATAGTTAGAATTATCCACTGTCTTTAAAATGTTGATTGAGACGTTTATGTATACACCTTTTATTAATCAAGGCCACCACAAGTCTTTGTATGCTCAGGGGGTGGTTATAATTGGTTCCAAGCAACCATATATGAACTTGGGATTAGAGCTGTTAAAAGTTGACCCGACCCGAAAAACTGACTCAAACTTGATTATTAACCGAACCATCTAAACCCGAAAAAATGGTGACCCAAACCCGATCTGACCTGACCTGAAACCAACCCTAGACCCGAGTTGACCCGAGTATATGAGACCTGAACCCAAACATGAAATGACCTGGAGATGACTCGACCCAAATGTAACCCATAAATTATTGACCTGAACCGAACCCGATTTGAACCGAAATCGACCCAAACCCGTTTTAACCCGTCAAAACCCGAATTTGACCCGACTTATTAATAACCTGACCTGAATTCAACCCGACTTGTTCCTAACCCGACCCGAACTTAACCCAACCTATTACAAACCCGACCTGAAATAAACCCGACTTGTTATTAACCTGAGCAAAATTCAACACGACTTGTTATTAGCCCGACCCGAATTTTACCAGACCTATTACTAACCCGACCAAAAAATTCAACCCCATCTGTTACTAACTCGACTCGAAATCAACACGACTTGTTATTGACCCGACCTAAATTCAACCCAAATTGTTCCTGACCCGATTTTAAATCACCTTAAATGCAAATTGTTCATGACTCTATTTCAAATCACCATAAATCAACACCATGGATATTAACATTTAATTTTGGAATTTTTAGACTAATTTTTGCCCGGAAATAAAAATTGTCGAAATGTTAACCATGGTCTATAATATCCTCGGGAAACCAATTGGGTGGGTTGAAAAACCCAGTTTGTCTTTAAACGACCAATTTACAGGTTTATAACTTGCACTGATTTCATTAACTCAAACCTACCACGATCTTTTACGACAACATATAATGATTATAAATGGTTCCAAATGGCAATATATGACCGCGAGATGTATCCCCTAAAATTTTAAGACTTTTCGACACCAGGTCCCGCAACCTCTAAAATTTCGCAAAATGCATGGATTTAATTTTGGAATTTTTTGAGTTTTTTTCGCACGGAAATAAAAATTGCGAAAATGTTTACCATGGTCCCTGATATCCACCGGGAGTTCAATTGGATGGGTGGAACCATCCAATTTTCTTTTATACGACCAATTTATCGATTTACAACTTGCACCGATTTCATTAACTCAAGCCTACCACGAACACTTATGACAACAAATAATGATCATATATGGTTTCAAACGGCATTATATGACCCCGAGATGTATCCCCTAAATCTCATTGCTTTTCGACACTGGTCTCAAAAACCTTCGAAATATCTCAAAATACGTGGATATTAGCCTTCAATTTTTGAAATTTTTGACCATTTTCACCCGGAAATAAAAATTGACGAAATTCTTATCATGATCTCTAATACCCTCTGGGAGTCCAATTGGGTGGGTGGGACCATCCAATTCATCTTTAAACGGTCAATTTACCGGTTTACAACTTGCACCGATTTCACTCAGTCAAGTCTACCACGAACATTTATGACAACTTATAATGATAATATATGGTTCCAAACGGCATTATATGACCCCGAGATGTATCTCCTAAAATTTCAAGACTTTTAGACACCGGCTCCTGAAACCTCCAAAATTTCTCAAAAAACGTGGATATTAGCCTTTAATTTTGGAATTTTTTGACTAATTTTTCGCCTGGAAATAAAAATTGCCGAAATGTTTACCATGGTCCCTAATACCCTCCGGGAGTCCAATTGGGTGGGTGTAACTATCCAATTTGTCTTTAAACAGTCAATTTACCGGTTTACAACTTGCACCGATTTCATTAATTCAAGCCTACCACGAACACTTATGACAACAAATAATGATCATATATGGTTCCAAATGACATTATATGACCCCGAGATGTATTACCTAAAAATTTCAAGACTTTTCAACGCCAGGCCTGAAACCTTCAAAATTTCTCAAAAAACGTGGATATTAGACTTCAATTTTGGAATTTTTTTACTTTTATTCGCCCAAAATTAAAAATTGTCGAAATGTTTACCATGGTCCTTAATATCCTCCGGGAATCCAATTTGATGGGTAAAACCATCCAATTTGCCTTTAAATGGTCAATTTACCGATTTACAACTTGCACTGATTTACCGGTTTACAACAGCCAATTTAATGAACTTGCACCGAACCCGACTTGAACCTAAATTGACCTAAACCCGTTTCAACCCGTCAAAACCCTAATTTAACCCGACTTGTTACTAACTTGATCTGAATTCTACCCGACCCGTTCCCAACCCGACCTGAATTTAACCCAACCTGTTACAAACATGACCTGAAATCAACCCGACTTGTTATTGACTTGACCCAAATTAAGGCTGACTTGTTATTGACCCGTTGCAAATTTTACCAGACCTATTACTTACCCAACCCAAAAATTCAACCCGATCTGTTACTAACTTCACTCAAAATTAACACGACTTGTTATTGACCCGACCTAAATTCAACCCAAATTATTCCTAACCCGATTTAAATCACCTTAAATGCAATTTAGACCACCTTGTTATTGTTAATTAAAGCATTTTGTCTAGGGAGACCAAGTCGATCAAGGCCAGCAAAAGAAAGGAGAAGCATCCTCAAATTTAAGAGTTAAATATTGTATATATTTGATGTATGGTCAAAGGAGATAATTATCTTCCTAAATTATAGACTATATTTCCCTAGTATATTGCCATATATATTATAGTCAAAGGAAATAATTAGCTTGATAAAAATGATAATTATCTATTTATAGTTAGTTGAACTCGAATATGACCCGACTTGGAAATCACCCGACCTGATTGTAACCTGCAAATTATTGACTTGAACATAACCCGACTTGAATCCGACATTAACCCAACTTGGAAATGACCCAACCTGATTATAACCCGCAAATTATTGACTTGAACCGAACCCGACTTGAACCCGATAATGACCCAACTTCAAAATGACCCGACCTGATTATAATCCGCAAATTATTGGCTTGAACCAACCCGTCTCAAACCCGAGAATGACCCGACCTAATTCTAACCCGCAAATTATTGATTTGAATCAAACCCGACTCGAACCCGAGGCTTACCCTAACCCGTGAAAACCCGACCTATTGTTCACCCGACCCGAATGTAACCCGACCTATTATTAACCCGACCCAAACCCGATAAGATGTATGACCCGACGTTACCCAACTCATGCACGACTCAACCCAAACCCGACCCGCATAGGTTATTGAATTAATCTGAATTGACCCGGCCCACTCTAACCCGACCCGTTTACTCGAATTGGCAGCTCTACTTGGCATACATTGTCTGCCGTCATTTGAATTTCCATCGCTTGAATTTTCAAGACTGGATTCCGAAATCTCCAAAAATATTTTATTTCGTGTATTATAGCCTTTAAATTTGGCCTTCATGGAATATTTTTGGACACGGCAAGATGATGCATCCACATGCTTCATGGGGTTCCAAAAAGCCCCCCAGAGCCAACTTGATGCCCACAACCATCTCATTTATGCCTTGATCCGTCCCTCATTACCATGTCTTTATTAAGCAATTCAATTAATATACAACAACAATCCTTATTTCAAATATCACTTTTTCTTCATACCAATCTTTCTTCTGAAGATGCTTCATTAACACTTTAACAGTAATACGAGAAAATTCAAAGCAATTTTCTAAAATTCTAAAGTGATCCTTATAGTTTTAAAATTGCTTAATACTTAAAAAATTGTGATAAACTGGGTATTATTTAGGGACGGATGGAAAAGTAGCAATGCAAATCAGACTTCTCTTGCTTTGAGATAAAAATGAAAATGTCAGTCAATACAACCTTTGTATGAATTTATAATTCTAATTACGAAGATAAAACTCACCACTCAGAAATTTCAAATAGATACAATAATTATGGAACCTTTAGAACCCAGAAAAATAAGAAAGCTCTATACACAATTCAGTTTTTCTTCCATTTGGCCTCCAACGACGTTCCATCTTTGAGCGTCTCATGGGCATCATTGTCCATCCCGAGGCTGAAGAGAGCGGCAGCTTGGAGATAAAATGCAGTTGGCCACTCAGGAGATACTACTTGAGCTTGCATAGCATCTGCTAGTGCTTCTTGTAGCATATTGCTCATCAAGTAAGACAAGCAACGTCGAGCAAACACCGTTGGTGAAACCATTGTCCCATCCTCGATAAACTACCAGAATAGCAGATAGAGTAATAAATATCAGACCTTTTAAGTACATGGTTTACAATAGCAGTGGTTAGTGTATAAATCTAGCTACTTTAAGGTTCTTTTTGAGCTGACCATGTGGTGAATCAGTGTGAAAGATATCATGCAACCAAATTCTAAGAGATGTTCGATATTTACAAAAAGACTATTTAGCACAATTTTTATCCCTTTTCTTACAGAGTACGAGTACTATATTGGGAGATGTAACAAACTTTTTGGATATCCTACTACAGAATTTCCACCATCCCAAAAAAAATGTAATTGGATTGGCATAAAATTAAGAATTAGTAACAAAAAAAGTTAGTTGAAATTATTTAAAAAAGAAATGTTGGGAAAGAAAGAGAAAAAGATTTTATGGAATCATGGGATGGATAGAGAAATCGAAAAGGAGTAGAAAAGTGTGTAGTTCT